TCACACCATAACCAGAATAGTCATAGCTGAATATATTACAATTTATTCTAGTACCTAATCCTAAGTAGAAACTGCTCATTTGACCGAGATCTACGGCATTTCCATGTGAAAATAATATCGTAAAACGGGCGTTTGGACTACACCGAACAAAGAGGCAAGCTATTCTGTTGCCTCTTGTGGTTCTCGAGTAAAAGCCTTCGATATTTTCTTTCTCCCGTTCCGAATATTGCCATTCTGCTCGTTCAGTCAATGTCAATGTGAATTTCGATCCTGTCTCATCAGGTGTGAATGCATACGTAGGTTCTGGAGGCAGAAACGCGAGCTTAGCCGCGATTTTCCCCGGGCATGGTGGACAACAAAACAGGCAACAGAGTTCACTGAAACTTAACCCGTTCATGATGAATTTTAACTAATACTCATGAGAAAATTATTGAACACTATCCATTACAAAACCACAACTCACAAATTCCTATTCCTGATCATGGCGAAAATAAAAGATTTCACAAAATTGACAGATAGTCAACAGTTTCGTTCAGCCATGACGGCAATGTTGCCAACGCCATTCAATAGGTTTGATTGATTAACATCATACAAAATTATTAAAAATGGATATTAGTTTGTAAATACACATTAAATATGATAATTGTAGCTTTTTATTTAACAGATTTGTTGATAATATGATTAATTTCATTCGTTTGACATTACAAAACAACATTCAAAAGAATTATTGTAAAATATTAAGGTTAGCTTACACTGACCCAACACGGTTAATGGTGCGGTTGTAAACGCCTCGTCATCTGACAACTCAGGAGCCTGTAGGTAAACAAAATAAAGTAGGTAGTAATCAATAGTAAACTTTACTCTTACGCAGTTCGCAATAATCTATGCACAACTGCACGTTTGATGTAGTGGCAGGCTAATCGGCTGCGACTTGTCATGGGTTCTATTTCTATGGCAGACAATGTTACATGAGCGCTGTACATACCAGACAATAAAGTGCAAATAGATTTTTCAGCCCGTAGCCTGAATTTTTGGTAGAATTTAAGACCGGTTTATATAGACATCTGAGGTAGTCATTTTTTTTTAAGTCAGAAGCAACAAAAACCTGACAATGAGTAAGGGTGGGGCGACACGCATTACATGACCCTTTGTGAATCATGAAAGACGAAAGGCAGCTTTCAACATAAGAACAGATTGTAATAATTTGGATCAGGAGAACTGGACCAGATACGAAGGCAGATTTTTTTTTATTGATTATAGGTTCGCCCTTGACCGCTATCTCACCTGATGGAAAGCGACGTAGCGGTCGACGATGGAGCGCGCTTACCTAGATTCCTAGCGAGCTGCTTTCAATGACCACTTACGTGCTTCGTCCCGACTATTGAATACTATCTATCTGTACTTACAAATTAATAGAATAGATACAGCCAGTTCGTATAGTAGTGTCTCGATCAGAGGTGGATTAAGCTTAGTTAACCAACACGCCGTGCCACTGCAACTCTACAGACAAGCGCTCTTCTCAGTAACTTGAAAACCCAGGCGCATGCAACATATTTCTCTCGGGGATAATATAATGGATCTTAGGATAAATATGATATTAAATATTTATTTGGTAGATATACAAATTATAGGTATTTTTCAGCAAATCATGAAGTCTGAAATGATAGACTGTTAACATAACTACCTACCTAACTGGCACAAACTGCATATTTGATAGGTCGGCAATCATCTTTAGATTAAAAGTTGGAATTGATTGCTTATACTTTCATTTTGCCTCATCGGCAAAGAACACAAGTCGACTGCAAGCTCGACGAACTCGAATTCTTGAGCGCGTCGATTGCGAGTATTGCGACCGAGCTGCGACAAGTCTTGAGTTCGATTTCCAAACGGGAAAGTAGTCTATCTCATTTCTTTCATTCGAAATTTCTCGATACTAACATAAAATATATGATCTTTGGAGGAAAAATTAGACAACTATGTTTAATAAAAATGTATTTAAAAGAATTAGACAGGTTTAATACACATTTTATAGTATGAGTACCTAGTAGTACACAATATTTTAGTCTTTATTCTTAGTAAACATTTAGTAGGTAAGTAGATAATAAACATGAAATAACCAATGAACTAAGTAAAGACAATGTTCGCTCAGTTCATTGGTTGTTTCAAATATACTTAGGAATAAAGACTATTTTTGTGATTAGTACAACAAGTTATTGGATAATTTCAGACCATTTTGTGATATTTCATAAGCAAACCTAGAAAATGTATGTGTGGCTATATATTTTTGTACTCACTTACATTGATTTACAAAAAAAGTCCAACAGTTCTCGAATTAGGAGCCTATGTAACTCATATACATAAATAGAATTTATGTTATTATGCATGTAACTTACTTGCTAATATAATAAGCGTCAGTCATTTCTTTAAAATTTACCTCTCCTTGAAGATACTAATTTGTGTTTCGGTAGTTTCCAACTAGTCACATTCAATACTTTTATCCAAATGTCAAAGATAGGTACTTTTCTATGTTTGTATTAAAAACTGAGTTATGACGTCATAGTATTTTTGAGTCAAATAGCTTACTTATTTCTTAATAATTAGCTACAAAATATCTAAAACTTAGTGTATCGATCGATCGATGAATAAAAATATAGTTATTTTCAATATTTCATTGTATTGATAAGTCGATTTAATTTATTTTTGACTTCGGAAACTAGAGAACCTTGAAATATAATAAATAAAACAGATCTGACTGTTTCCTGTCCTACTGTTCTGTACTAATCAGGTATTGTTTTTTCTGACTTACAATTTTCTTTTCTTCTTAAGACACAAGCTTACTATTTAGTTTTTTCAATAAGCTGTGCCTAAAGATAATATTTAAAATGTCCTATCACATTTAGATTAAAACCGTTCAACGGGCCTCTGCGAGTTGGCTTTGGCCCCTCGTACGCCTTCCAAAGGTCCGGGATCCTGTAATCCCGTTAAAGAAAAGAACAAACAAATATTAAAATTTTAAATAAATACGGTGCTTGTATGTTTTATTTTGTTTTCCGCTAGACTCACTGCCGCGCGTCTGGATGACATGGAGATGATCTGCATTACGGATTTCCAGTCGTTGTTTAAATATAATCTTATATTTTTACAGACACAACATTGTGTAGATTACAATTATTGTTGGTATTCGCTCTTGTTTAAATTTATTTGATTATTTATACAAATACATACCATGTGTATAATTGGGCGAAAGCTTAAAATTTAAATTGTCAAGATAAACAACGAACTATTCTGATTTATAGATTGTTACGTAACAAAAGTGGATTTGGTGTACAAATAGGAAACCTCAGTTCGACAAATGCATTTTTACATATTTTTGTACTTTACAAATTTAATAACATACATTTAATAAATTCAGAATATGAGAGATCATTTTTTTAAATAGTGCTTTTATACAAAAATGTTCATAACCAAACTGAAAACCAATTTATGGAATCACTTCTTGTGCTACAGACGTTTCAATTCACCTGTGAGAAAAGAAACTGATATATATTTAGGATTCTCGGTAGTTAGGTAGGTACCTTCATACTAACACTCTAAATGAGTTTTAATATCAAACTTTGTGAAGAATCGCTACAAAAAAAAATGGTACAACCTAAGGTTACAACCTATTAATTTCATTTTGTTATTTTCTCTTAAATTAATATTTTTTTATAGGTTTAGTTATTATTTTGTTAATACTTAGAAGGTAATCCCGAAGGGGGCGTCCATAAATTATGTGGAATGATTATGGGAGGGGATCGAGTCAAATCCTTAGAGTATCTTTATAAATAAAAAAGGACTTTGGTCAAATCTCATCTAATTTCACGCTGGGGAGGGAAGCTCGACAAATGTCACGAAAATATTTTCAAACTAAAGAAATACCAAGGTACAAAAAATTTAAGTATTCTATTATAAATATTTTATTACATTAATACTTAACTCTTAGCAATATTGATTACGAGTCGTAACTAGGTATTGGCAAATAAAAATATGAAGCATTTTTTTTTTACAATAACAATCCAATGGGTTTATCTACATGAGAAAACCACATTTTGAAAAATCTTAAGTGAAATTAGAGAATGGGGAGAAGGTTGAACGAAATAGGGGAGGAGGATGGAGGGGCATAAAATTTCAGAAATATTCTCAAGTCATTTATGGACTGCCACTCTCACTGAAAGGAAATATTGTTAATGTTTTATATTGTTTTCACTTTTAATAATTATACATTTAGTGAGTATGATGAAAACATTTAACACACTTAATATAAATGCATTTTGGAATTATAATTCGACCACCAGTGATAAGCGATAACTGGTAAAGGCAGGTTGAGTTGATGAATAAATAATTGATAATTTTATTGTAAGTGTAATAAAAAGTTAATTTAAGTATACTTAATAATTAAAGAAAACATCATAATTAGGGTGCAAGGAACAATCATTATTTAAATTAAAATTAATTAAAATAGTTAATAACTAACTGCTACATGACTTTGGGAATTTTAAAATTCGTTAACAGTTAGGTTGTAATAAGGCAAGTATTTTTTTTTTATTTAGCACACATTTTATAGTTTGATTTTATTAAACGTCCCGTTTGAATATACTACGCCAGATTTGACCAAGGACTAGAGATATTATATAATGCGAATATTCACTTAAGCTCCATTTAAAATGAATCAGAATTTCTAAATCCAACGAAATATTAATTATACTCATACCAAATACGTTTGTCATGGATTTATTTTGAACCGGCAGTTAAGAAGTACTTCATTATCAGGCCGTTTTAAAAAAGGTATACATAATTATTTTTATAATACTAAACGCGTACTTATTTAGCATAATGTCTTAGATTGTTTCAATGTATTAAAGCTGCCATGTTATGTAAATAAAGTGTGACATTATAGTAGTTATTATTCTATTAAATTATTATTGAGACATTATATCACAGTAAGGATTGCTGAATGTAACATAGAATAGAGCATACTGAGCATAGTCCAATCTTAAGAATTATGAGAGTTAAGCAATAGGCATAATGAAATTATTAACTTGTTTCAGTATAATAAAATTTTATGTCGACCTAAATGTTAAAATAAACTAAGGGCATAATAAATAATTTGTTCATAGAATTTTCCATAAAATGAGGGCAAATATTTCAAAATTACTTAATACCTTTCCACAGTATTGTTTCGAAATCAATGGGGTATGTACCTATCTTTCGGTACCCAAAACTCCAGTGCCGAGTCACATGTGCCAACCACTAACACACCGTTCAAGTATCGTAACTGGAAATAGAATAAGATAAGTATTAAAACCGGAGACTGACTGACTCGAAATAGTGTATTTTAGCTTACCAAAAAATATGTGTGTATTAGAAATTCAAAATACTCTTTCTCTTTAATAACAATAAAATAATTAGATACATTTTATGGCATAATTTATTATGTACTTTATTTTAATTTTTCTAGAATAAAGAATTTGACTAAGTAGGTATTTATTAAATATCGAAGTTCAGAAAATATTTTGTTATATAAATTGAGAGCATTACCTGGGTGACATCAAATGTACTACTCCTTACATTGGTGTACTCTAGTGGTGGATAGCAGTTGTACATGAATTTGATTTCTCCTCTGTCTGAACAGACAATCATATTACCAGAACTTTGGTAGCAGCCAGTAATCTTGCTAGACGGCTTAATTATGGGAGGCTCAGGCCATATTTCATGAGTTCTTACATATGTGTGGTCTTCTGGATTAAAGAGGTGCAAACAACCTTTAGAGTCTCCAACATATAAGGCGGATGGGCTCCAACTAATGCACACAGGATAAGCTTTATCAGTAGGAATCTTCACATCACTCAATAAAAGTTTGCCAGCAACTCTATCCCATACAGCCATAGTTTTATCTTCACTTAATGACGCGATCATATTATTGAATGTTTGCAGAGCCAAAACAGGTCCTTTGTGTGGTTTGTAAGCATAAGTGGGGCTTGGACCAGCTCGCAAGTCGAACGACAGAATTTTTTTGGAGTATAAGCCAGCTATAACTTCGTGTTCAACAGTGGCAACGGACAATGCTGACATCCCACACCTGCAATATTTTTAGTAACATTATTATGGATGTTTGGAATTGCTTTTAGAGAAGTGAGTTAAGATGAAACCATACCGAAATGATTGTTTACATTCAAAACCAGCCTCAAGATCCCATGCTTTGACAGTGTTGTCCCATGAAGCAGAGTATATAGTTGAAGCGGAATTTATATTATCTGCAGCCAGGTCCCAGACCCAGCCAGCATGAGCATCATGCCTAATTTGCTTTGGTTTAGCATCTGTAAATGTGGTGACATTGTCACTGTCATCATGAGGGCTAATCTCCAGGACATTCCATAACGCCATTCCTCGATCTCTACCACCTGATATACAAATTTCGCCATTCTAAAAAGTAGGATCAAGGAAGGGAAGAATTAAAGTCAGGTACAGTCTTCAAATTCATTCCAAACATTTTTGTTAATAAGTTATTAAGTATTAAATACTTACATTGACTAGTAGAACAGTATCCACGGAAGCAAAATGAACATCCTTTACAACAATGTGTCTTGTTGTTTCTTTTACATTGGTCCATTTCTTCATTTCTACATCCATTTCGACACAAACTGCTTCCCAGTCAATTTGTGTTTCATCCCATATTTTCAATAGTGGCAATGTTGGGAAACAACCATTAGTTTTACTGTGTACCCAATATTTCCATAAGTGATCATCTGCTAATATATCCTCAAATCGCTGACAAACTTTGCTCAATGTATACTTTAAAAAATGTGCATCCAGAAATGAGCATATTTTCAAAATTATCTGTAAATAATGAATTTAAGGTGTTGTATTATTTCTGATTGACTAAATTTTAACAAAATCTATATTATTTATCAACAAATCACTTACTTCAACTGGCATATCCATCAGTGATGGCTTACTGCTGTCATACATGCTGCAACACTCTGTATTTGTATCCAGTTCATTTTCAATTTGTTTCAGTTCCTCTTTTACTGACTCAAATATTTCAGACATAGTTACTGAGCCAGTCAAACTGTAAAAACAGTAAAAAAATGCAATCTTTTTAATTGTAATTAGGTACCAAAAAACTTGTCATCACTGTGCATAGATTTGGTAAAAGATTGGCTTACAGCTAGGACATGGAAATAGAAATGATGGTAATTATCATTGCTGTTGCACCCAGAAACTAGCAACTTTTAATACTTAATAAAAAGGGATCAAAAAGTAATATCTCATCAAGTAGCTGTGATTTGATGATACTAAATTACAAATTTTGATCTTTGATTCTTGTGGGGGCCAAATGTAAATATATGAGATTTTCTAATAACATTAGTTTCCCACCTTATGACTCACAAAATAAGGCTTTCAGTCCTTTGTTTGACCTCACAATGTTGCATAAGTCACTGCTCTAAAGCCTAGCCTTATTAAGATTTGTTACTAAGAGTCCAAGTAAGTGAGCAAATCATTTATTCCAATTAGAACTAAGTGAATTGAAAGTCAAGAAATATAATATTAAAATTCTGCATGAATATTATTTAACTGAGAAAATGTTTTTCAACCATGACAATAAATCCTTTGTTATGATGCTAACGATATAATTAATTACTTCATAAAATAACTACACTATTATCATTTAATAGATCTATTCAGAGCAAATTTTCCTCCTTTCTTATTAGTCAGGACCACACTCTTGTTCCAATTAGGTACATAAAGTAAAACTTCTATTTATAATCAGTATTTCCTCAAACGACTTCGGAACTGTTTTAAAACCAGAACCACAATTTATTGATTACTAGATTATTTGAAAGTGAAAAGCATAACAATCACAAATTGAATAACAAAAAACATATGTTTCATTGGTAATTGTTAAATTAATTTACATCTTAGTTTGTTTAAATTACGATGGTGGTTTTCAACACCATTACCGTTTCTTGTTTAAATTATCTTTCCCCACTAGGTTGCTTGCCCCAAATTTCAACTATATCATGAATGGACTCACGTATCACAGTGTACTATTTTGGTAAAATTTAAAACAAAACAGAAAAAATACAAGTCACACAAAACTGATTAACTGTCAAATTTTACTTTTTCACAAAAACATTTTTTTTTTAATTGATAACGGGTATTTCTACACTGTGATTTACTACATGATGAAAATCCAAACAAAGTTTAATCTTTACGTTGCAGTGTATGCACTGTTCTTATTATTAATATTTTAGTGAATTAAAACTATTACTTATATAGGCAACTATAGTGGCAGCTTTTGATTTGTTCATGCCACGACATGTTTGGCTTAAAGAACTTGTATCCAGGCCATAAACTCCAAAAAAAAAATGGCACGACATGTCAAAACAAGTCAAACCAAAAGTGACATTTTATATTTCACACATTATTTTGCAAAACAGCGTGTAGTTTGTGGCTGTAAAAAAATGTTTTAATTAATACAGAATTAGTGTAAAAGTAGGACACTAACAAGCAAAATAAATTTTAACGAGATGAAGGAGTAAGCTATATTGGATATTTAACTCAATTATTGCAAATATAAGTAAGTAAATAACATTGAAGCGGCTCCATTATTTTTTGATAAGAAATAACCATTTATAATCTTACTATACAAAGAATTGTACTGGCAAAGCCTTTTGATAACTAGGTACTAAAATTTACTTTAAACATGGAGTTAGAAAAAGATCTAACCAGTAAGTTCTTGAGTGGTGAAATGTCTTTTGCTGAATATTCCAATGAATGGTACAATATGGATGATGAGGAAGACATTGATGAAGCAAGTAAAAGAAATGACAATGAACCTTTTTCTTTGTCTGGAAAAGGCATTCAAAGGCGTCGTAAATTTGCACGATTACCACCAGGCCTTTTAGGGCTAATGGGGGAAGCTAATTTGCGTTTTGTAAGGGGAGACAGAGACACTGCTGAGAAAATGTGTCACGAAATAATTAAGCAATTTCCAACTGCCCCAGAACCATACCAAACATTAGCTCAGTTGTATGAGCATGATACTGAAAAATCACTTCAGTTTTCTTTACTAGCAGCTCACCTGAGTCCTCCAGATGCTGAAGAGTGGCTAAGACTTGCTGCTATATTCAAACAAAGAGAAGATTTTAGACAAGAGATGATTTGCTACACACAGGCAATAGCAGATGAGCCGCATAATTTTGATAGTCATTTGAAAAGAATCAACCTTATTGATCAATTGGAATCTATAAATTTCCCAATTAATATTTTACATATAACAAAACTAAAGTGTTATCATAAGATAGTTACTTCATTGCCAGCCTCTGAAGGAGAAACCATAATGAAATATGCCAAACTAGCAGTGACACAATATCACAACAATAATGAAATGGAGCGTGCCCTTGCAGTGATGTCTTCAGCTTATAAAAAGTGCCCAACTTTGTTTAATTTAGAAGACCTCAATATATTTCTAGAGCTCCTCATAGGACAGAAGCAATTTCAAACATGTATTGAAATATTTGTTGCCAATGGTGGAGTGGAAATTGAAGCTGAAATACAAACTGTTAAAAATCCTGATGGAGAAATAGAGGAGCAAACTAATTATCTGAATTGTACCATTCCTGATTCCTTGCCTATAGATTTAAAAAGTAAGCTGTTGGTCTGTTTCATACATCTTGGTGCTGTTAATTTAGTTCAAACATTGTTAACTGACTTTTTAAAAAATGATGTGGAAAATGCAGGAGACTTATATATGGATATAGAAGAAGCACTTTCTTCAACTGGACAACATGAACTAGCAATACAACTTTTAGAACCATTAGTAAAGAACAATAGCTTTGACCTTGGAGCAGTGTGGCTAAAGCATGCAGAATGTTTGTACATGCTTGGCAGAGAAACTGATGCTATTAATTCATTTTACAAAGTATTAATTCATGCACCACAACACCCCGATGCTCGAAAAAAGTTGTACTCTATACTAGAAAAGAAAGGACGCATTGATGAAGCTTTGCAAATGTTAGAACAAGATTTCAAGTATGTAGTAAATGCCAATTTGCTATATGAACAATGCTTGGCACTGAAAAAATATAAAAAGTGGCTCAAGTATTTAGAGATAGGTGAAGCTTTACTGTCTAAAACATTTGTCAAGTTCAGACATCAAGAGGAATTAAATATGGCATGTATGGCACGATGTGGAATTGACCTGATACACAATTTCCGTACAATGCGAGGAGAAAGCCAATATCACGAAAATGACATTCACTTTGATGAAGACGAAACTTTTAAATTTACACCACATGAAGAATGGGACTTCTTTCTAGAAATGCTAAACACTGCATGTCGATTTAAAAAATATTTCGTGATGCAAAGATTGACTTTTGGAGCAATGATGTCAAAAAGTTTGTCTTCCCATAGACAAGATATTGAATTCTACTGTTTGCAAGCCTGTCTGTTAAGCAATGATAACCAAAACGCATTTCGTTTCATCAGAGAATTCTCTCAGAAGCATCCAAGTAACCGGTCATGGAATTTATTGAATCTTGTTATTAATTACATTGACAGAAATACACATTCAAAGTTTTTGCTGAGACTGTTCCAAAGAGATAGTAACAATGTCATCAAGAACTTATTTTTGGGAAATAACTTTCTAATTTCAGGAAGATACTTAGTGGCATTGAAGTTCTATTTGGAATATCATGAAAGATGTGGTGACTCATTATCTGCATTTTTAATTGCTGTAACAATTTTAGTGATGGCAGCACAAAGAACAGTGGACAAACACCACAACTTAATTCTCCAAGGAATGGCATATATGCAGACTTATCAGTCTTTAAGGAAATGTGAACAGGAGGCTAATTATAATATGGGAAGAGTATATCAAATGTTAAGCATTAATAATCTTGCTATTGAGTACTATGAGAGGGCACTTGCTTGTGACCATATTACGACATGTGAACAACATGGCATAATTGATCTAAAGAGAGAGACAGCCTACAACTTATATCTACTATATAAAGATCATTCACCTGTCATGGCCAGAAAGTATTTGTTGAAGTATCTTGTTGTCTAATAAATAAATACGATTTAAAATGACAACTTACGTTTCAATTAAATAACAACCCTTATTTTAAGTGAAATGGTTTTTTGTTTTTAAGTGTAATATGAAAAGCTATTATAGTTAGCTAACATGCTAAAAACGCCGTTCATCTGATGGATATGTAGACTTTTGACTTTAACGCAAAGGAATAAAGTTAAATCTTCCGAAAATGCAAATATTTTGTTTGTTTTAGGGAGTCCATTTTATTATTTTGAACTTCATCATGGCACATGAAGTAATAATACCCGCAAATGATATAAAATTCGAAAAGTTTTGTAACATCTTAGAGCAATTACACAAGAGGAAAAGGCAAAGACAAGAACAAGATAAAATATTGGGATTATTTTTAAACGAATGTAAACTGAGTGCATCGCAAGTGGTAGGGAAAAAGGTAAGGTGTAGGTTTTATTTCAACATTAAGTCTTTTTCGTGATTTCGGGCTAGAAAATGGACCATCGGCCCTTTCTAGATAAGTTAACGATTTTATTTTTGATGAGGAAAGGAAAAATTATCATTAGGTATGGGTTCTCAGGAGTGTCAGACTCTTACTGTCAAGAAACCACCCCGTCCCTTCTACGGAATCAGGACCAGTGTTTGTACCAGCAACAATGTATGTATCGAAAGAATAAAGACGTTAAAATAAGCGGTCTGTCGATTTGAGTTTTAAGGAGAGTTCAGTACGTAATAGAACGTCTCTGGCCCATTTAGCGAAAATGTTTGAAAGTGCATAAACTGCACTACCTATGTATATTAGTGGCAGTATCCACAATAGTTCAGTTCTGTTTTAAGTCCCTTGTCTTGATACTGAGAATTTTGTGAAAGTATAAAGAACCGGATAAAATTTTGTTTGGTCGGACTCGGTCGAACTCGAGTCTGTAATAAGGAGCAAGGAGTGTAGAGTTCTATATATGTACACCTACATAAATTGTTAAGCCGCAATACGAAGACGTGTCGTTGTAGAACTATCTAATACTTAAAATTTAGTAACTAGCGTCATACCTGCCCTTAAATAAGTGTTATAATTTTTTTACGTTTTTGCAGAATGCTACTTTGTTCCCAATTTTAAGGCTGCTGTTACCAAAACTAGATAGAGAAAGGAGTGCTTACAACTTGAAAGAAACGAAACTTGGCGTGTTGTTAGTAAAAGTTTTATCACTTAGCAAACAATCTCGCGATGCGCAGAAGTTGCTGAATTACAGATCAGCAAATAACTCGCAGGACAGTGACTTTCCTGGTGTTGCGTACTTTGCTTTTAAAAGTAGAATGAAACCAAAATGTGAGGAAATAACTATTGGTGATATAAATGCCCTCCTTGATAGTATTGCCGCAGCCGAAGTTGGAATGAAGGCGTGTAAGTTCTTGAGTCTCTCATTTGGCCTATTCCCGTTCCTTCTGCCTTCACGTTTCGTCGCCCTCTGTGGTGGCGAATAATCAAAAACATTGTTCCCTCTTGGACAAGTCGTATTTAAAACATTTTCCAATCCGTGCAGTATCTAATTGAGAGTTCCCCATAACATTACGTTTGCAAAATAGTTTCGTTGGTCTCAGGGGGCGATGAGGTGGGGCCTAAATGCGATATGCAACGCATGTAATTCTGGGTCTGGGTTTAGCAAGTGCTCCTACAACACTGGAGAAACCTAACCATAGATAGATTTTATTTTGTAAACATTTCATATTTTCAGCGGTTCTCGATGAAACGTTCAGCCATGTAATAAACAAAGTGACTGCGGACCAGATGAAATGGTTCCTCAGATTGATACTGAAAGAACTCAAATTGGAGATGGGGAGTAATCGTATTTTAGCTCTATTCCATCCTGACGCTCCTGAATATTATGAAACCTGTGGTTTGTTGTCCAAGGTGAGTCAACAGCATTATTATAGTTTATTTGTCCATTATTGTTTGCTCTATCAGGTTCCGAACATTTTGAGTCTGATTCGGCCTCTTGTCCGACTACAAGGGGCCGAAGCGAACTCAGCCGACAAGTATCCCAGTATGCACTATGGAAATGCACTCGACTACGCCTAGACGTAGGTAGATGCAGGACTATTCTGCAAAATGGTAGACAATAAATGGTTATGGGTGTGGGTGCCTAATGACTGGCATACATCATCACTATGGAAATGTTATGGCCCCTGTCCTGAACGATGCATCGTCTATACTATCTATATCTATACTAATATTATAAATGCGAAAGTAACTCTGTCTCTCTGTCTTTTCTTCACGGCTAAACTACTGAATCTATTTGTGTGAAAGGTACAGACATAGTTTGGAACTCGAGAAAGGACATATCTAAAATAGTTTTTTTACAGGAACTACTACTACTTTCACCAGCCCACGCGGCCGGAGTTGCGGGCAAAAGCTAGTTATTAATAAACACGGATCAACAAGCAGTGGGTGACTGGCAAACACAATTATTTATGGGCCCCCGGCCCCGGAACCGGTCGCTAGCATGTAGCGATACAGGGGTAACATACGCTGGACTTCTTGAGGAAGCAGAGGCAGTGACGGTTCTCAAATCTCGACCAAAGTCTTATCGAGATACGTCCTCCCCCAAGTCTCCTTCAACTTCTCATGCGAATCTCCACTCAATCCTGCTTATTAAGACAAAAATGAGGTGGGAGGGCTTATTCCTAATCAGTGTTCACTCCAGCTAGTCACGAAGACTAACCGGAGGTGAAGAATAAGCCAACACCCGGAAGTCAGGTGTGTAGGGTCGCTACTGCCCAATAGCTGCCTTCGTATAATACATATTATGGTGCATAGCTCCTAGACTTAAATTTGTTTTATCTGTCTAACATTTTGCATTAGGTATCTAACTGATGATGTTGGTTTCTCTATGATGATGCACTTAGATACCCCTTGTCACCTATGTATCTTGTTCACAAAAATTACTTTGATTTTATCTTTTTGGACTAAATTTCCTTTAGTTTTCTTAAAGACTGCACGGTTGGCGCAGTAGCTGGACAACTAGCTACCCTGCAACGTGTCGCGGTTTCGATTCCTGCACGAAAAAACACTCTGGTTGATCAACTAATGTTGTTGTTTCCAGTCTGGGTAGCTTGTTTATGTAAATATTTATGTTTGTAAACGCACCCACGATATAGGAGGAAAACTAGTGAGGGGCAACGTTAAAAAAACTCATTCACTCATCAAATATTTTGCCATTTGTCTGTATGAAAAGTTACTGGAATCCAAATTCGACTCCCGTCATCCCCAATAGTGCTAATCCTCAAATCCCTAAAAACCAACACACTGGTGTTGCGATTGTCCAGATCCGATTTCTTACCATCAGGTATTTTGTACTATCTTAACAGGTGTGTGAAGAGCTCGGCGAAGGAGATTCTCGTCCCCTGGAGCTAGGAATAGAGATGTTTCATGCGATTAGCCCGATGCTGTCCGAACGACTCGACGTCAAGAATATTGCCAAACAACTGTCCCCGGACAAAACTTATCAGATTGAGAACAAGTTTGATGGTGAAAGATTTCAAGTAAGTGAAGGTTTGGTGAATGTGTCAAGTATCATAATACCTATATTATAGGTACCCAGTGATATTCTCTGAAGACCTTTTTTCTTAGTTATATGTTAGTACCGAATTTGTACTCACATATGGTGAAGAAATACACTATGAGGAAACTTGATTTAAAAGACTAGACATATGCATAGCATGGCTCGCTCAGAAAATGAAAGTGATTCATTTAGCATTCAGTCAAAAGTTTAGAGTTGACTTCCATTTTCGTGTCTTCTATTTTTGTCAGGGGAAAATCATCAAATGACTTCTCCCGCTCAGGGTCGGGCAGGAGTGTCAGACTCTTACTGACCAAAAACCTACCTGTTCCTTCTCCTGCTCTGGGCCGAGGCCCGGTGACTTATTGCGCTTATCCAGCAACACCGTCTGAACATCAGCCCTATAGGCCCCCTTTGTGGTGGTCTATTGGCTGGTCTGGTTCTGGTCGGGCGGCGAGTTACTTACTCGCCGTCCGCACATCTGCGCTAAGGGTGACCGGAGATCGTCTCTTGATCCTACTTGTGCCATGTGTCTGACTTACTAATAAAAGCATGAAACCGATAGGCTTCATGCTCGTGGTTCTGTAAAATAAGAGAGAGAGAGTTTCTTAGTGTGAAACAATTACCTACATTAAATGTTAGGGAAAATATTTAGTTTTAATTCCGCGACAAAAATCCAGGCTTGTTGCAGGATGCAATCCCACTCCTATGCAATCATGCATATGCACATGCAGCAAGGGTCCCACCCTCCCGCCCACATGCATATGCACACATACACAAAACGGAAAAACATGCCACGCAATCAAACCTATACTCGACACGTGTTTCGCCCCTCCACAGGGCATCCTCAGGAGATGTTGACTCGACGAGCGCTCGGCTGCGAATGAGCTAGTACGACAGCTCTCGCCTTTTATATAGTGTCGTGATGACACATAATCGATACAAACGTCTTTGTATCGATTGCATCGATTACACAATCGATACAATCGACACAAACGTCATTGTGACGCCTGCATCGACTATGATCTACCTGTAATCACACTTAAAAGAGGGGATGTAATTAAGTTTGTTTGCTCATTCAACAGTGTAAAATTACTATTATTATTATGTTTTAAACATAATAATAATAGTAATTTTACAATTATTATTATTTACTATTATTATTATGTTTAAAACATAATAATAATAGTAATTTTACACTGTATTATTATGTTTTAAACATAATAATAATAGTAATTTTACACTGTTGAATGAGCAAACAAACTTAATTACATCCCCTCTTTTAAGTGTGATTACAGGTAGATCATAGTCGATGCAGGCGTCACAATGACGTTTGTGTCGATTGTATCGATTGTGTAATCGATGCAATCGATACAAAGACGTTTGTATCGATTATGTGTCATCACGACACTATATAAAAGGCGAGAGCTGTCGTACTAGCTCATTCGCAGCCGAGCGCTCGTCGAGTCAACATCTCCTGAGGATGCCCTGTGGAGGGGCGAAACACGTGTCGAGTATAGGTTTGATTGCGTGGCATGTTTTTCCGTTTTGTGTATGTGTGCATATGCATGTGGGCGGGAGGGTGGGACCCTTGCTGCATGTGCATATGCATGATTGCATAGGAGTGGGATTGCATCCTGCAACAAGCCTGGATTTTTGTCGCGGAATTAAAACTAAATATTTTCCCTAACATTTAATGTCATGGATTTCCGCAAAGTAACGCCTGATTCTATAAATTAATTACCTACATAGTATTTTGTTAGAGCTAAGATAAAAAGAAAACCACACTACATGAGTACCATTCAGTGAGCACAAAAACGGTAGCTCCAGTGCCGGCGTAAGGGCCACTGACACCCCGAGTGAAAATATCGTGGCGCCCACTATCATAGTGTTACATTTCTGATCTGATCCCAAGTAAAATAAAAAAATGCATCTGCACAGAACGTAGAGCACAGTTCTGAGGGTGTTTGCACTAGGAGAGGCAAGAGACTCCAACTTCAGACCTTGGCGCTCCCCAGAATTTGTCGCCCTGGGCCATCGCCCCATCACGCCCCCCTAATAATGCTGGGTAGCTCTCATTAAACTGCTTGATACCATTTTGACAAATATGTCTGTTTGACTTTACCGTAATATTAGAACTATCATTCTTAACAGATACACATGCGGGATGGAAAATTTGAATATTTTTCGCGAAGAGGATTTTCCTTCACTAAGAACTTTGGAAACAGTTATGACTCTGGACTGTTGACGCTTCATTTTAAGGACGTCTTCTCATCTGGTGTTACCAGCTTTATTCTAGACGGCGAAATGATGGGTTGGCATAAACAGTACCAGTGTTTTGGATGTAAAGGTAATGTCTGTTTATCAAAATTAAATATCTTTAATTTACCTAATATTTTGTCGTCATTTTAGTTTTCTATTGTAAATTGTCCCATACAATTGACACACAGACCCGGAAAGCATAATGCATGCATGTATAATTCTCGACCCCACAGTTGTAAAATGTTTCTTTTGTACCAACGCAAGCGTTTCTTTACGCCGCTATTCTGTGAAGATGTGGTATCACTTCTAGGCGCGTACTGGGACAGGACAAAATTTGCTTCATATTCGAATAAATAAAATCGTCGTGTTCATTGCAGGAATGGCCTTCGACGTTAAGAAAATTACAGAGAATTCGAGGTTCCAACCGTGTTTCTGTGCCTTCGATATTTTGTATTACAACGGTAGAACATTAGTGGGGCCCCCGGAGAAAGGAGGTTTGCCACTTAGAGAACGACTTCTTATTTTGGACAAAGTGTTTACTGACAAAACTGGAGTGATAAAGCATAGTGATCGGAGGACATTGTCTAAGACGTGAGTGTACCTATATTAATCTACTTAATATTCTTATCTATATTAATATTATAATGCTATAGAGTTTGTTTGTTTGAACTTGCTACTTAATTTCCAGAACTACTGGTTTGAATTGAACAATTCTTTTTGTACTTGTTAGTCCATTTATCTTGGATAGGCTATAAAACACCATGCTACGATATGTAGGAAAGGAGCCGAGCAGCGGGTGAAACCGACGGGAAGTAGCTAGTAAAATATAATACCTACAAATCATTTACCTAATTCAGACAAAAAGTCAATAGCTGGCAAAGGTTGTTAGTGATGAAAATGTTTGCTTATAACGAATGTTAGTTCATATTTAATAGTAAACAATAAGTACTTGCATAGTAGACTCATGGGTTTCGCAACACATGAAGTCCGGTGAATCAATCAATCATTCTTAGGACGATATTTGCCGCCATATTGTTATTATTATTACATGTTTAAGGCACTTTTGTAGTATGTGACCTGTGTGCGGTCAGAAGAGTAGGTAGGTAGCAACATGAAATCGTGGTTTCCATCGCCAAACGGGAAGATTGCACAGAAGGAAATTCAAAATATTAGGAAAAACTTTTTTGTTAATATTTTGAAGTTTTCAGTGTCGTGGTACAAAATTAATTCTATCACATCTACTTTGCATCATAACGTAAATTAGCACTTATACCGTTTGTCCCAAGGACCATTTTCCCTGAGATTTTGGATGCTCTGAACAAGGCTATAGAGAATCAAGACGAAGGCATTGTGGTGAAAGATGTTGATTCCTACTACATTCCCAATCGACGCAACGCAGGATGGTACAAAATTAAACCAGAGGTAACATAACAACATAGTTCTATATTTAAACACCACAAAAATATTCAAAATTAAATACTCGTACAATAATTATGTTTTTTTATGTGATATGTCGGCAACCGAGCATACGGATTACCTGATGGTAAGCAATCAGCGCTGCTCATGGACACCCGCAACAAAAAAGGAGTTAGAAGTGCGTTGCCGACCTTTTGGGGATTAAGGATTAGGGGAGGGGAAGGATTAGGCCTCCGGTAACCTCACTCACACGGCGAAACATAACCTTGTGATTGTTTCACGCCGGTTTTCTGTGAGGCCGTGGTATCACTCCAGTCGAACCGACTCATTCGTGCCGAAGTATGGCTCTACCATAGGTACTTAAAGAGAATGGTATTTTATGAACGATGTTTTTTAGTATACAGAAGGTGCCATGAGTGATCTTGACCTTGTGATCATCGGGGCAGACGAAGCTGAGAACAAGAGGCAAGGGCGCGCCAAGAGCTTCCACGTTGCCTGCAGTGATGGTAACAGCCTGGGTAAATATTTATATAGTGCGCCTGTAAGCATAGGCAATAAAACTTTTTTTTAACTGCACAGATCTGTAGAAACTCAAACCTCTTTATAGGATACTAGCTACTATCGCGCGGTTTCACCCGCTGCTCGGCCCCATTTAATCGTAGCATGATCTTTTATAGTCTATAGCACTCAGGAACATTGTAGCTATCTATTAGTGAAAGAATTTTGGCGACTTTTTGCGATTCTTTCCGACTAGACGTTCCAAAGATTACCCCCTTCATACAAACTTACAAATTTTACCTCTTTATAATATTACTGTAGAAGTATAGATTATTGAAGTGACTCTAACTCAAATCTTTATAGTGATATATTGTTTTCTTTATAATGTTAGCTCCAGCTAGACATCTGGTAGAGTTCTTGGATTGTTTAAATTATTTATAATGTTTGTTTCAAAAATTTCTCTATCACTATTTTTTCCGCATCAGAAAAAATATCCTATGATATTTTTATATTTTTTCTATCTCCTTCTTAGGTAAAATGCCAGAGCGCTGGATATCAGTAGGGCGTGTATCTACCGGCCTTACGTATGACGAGCGAGAATCCCTATGTGCCACGTTGGAACGCAACTGGACATCCTCTAGGCAGACACCAGCGCCATCTAACTTGAGTTTCAGTAAAAATAAACCCGATTTCTGGATCCTTCCTGAACATTCCGTCGTGTTAACGGTAAAGACAAGTTTAAAAATTGTCAAAGGTCCCTTTCTCTAGCGGCATGCACATATGTATGCGTGTATGAATATAAATATAACTTTAAAACTACGCAACGGATAGTGTTTGAAAAGGCAGGTTTTTTTTGTAGGTATAGTTTAAATAGTGGAAAAATAATAATATAAAGTCAGACTGTTTCTGATTAAAAACCAACTTACTTTGCTCCTGCAGGCCTAGTATCAGTGCATTGACCAGAACCATTAAATCAACCTTGTCTCCAACTGTCAGTAATTTTCGACTTTATAGTAAAACAATAAAGTAGAAAGTTCGTTTGACAAAAAAGAGAAGTCTTTACCTACTTTCGTGTACACATAGGTTCGAGCGTCCGAATTGGTTCGTGCTTCAGGCTTCGGTTCGGATTACACGCTAAGGTTTCCTCGCGTCACTCGAGTCCGTGACGACAAACCCGTTCAAGACGTCATGACACTTATGGAGTTCCAAAATCTTTGTGCTGTAAGTACTTACCAACTTTTTATATGTACTTATTAATTGTTGTATTTTGAGGAAACTGTTTTAGATTAAGGTCGTGGTGGCCCAGAGGTTAAGGCGCCCGCTTCTCATGCATGAGTGTGTGGGTTCGAAACTTGGCAAATACCAATGTGGCTTTTTCCAAGTTATATGTACTTTCTATGGTTATTTAGAAACCACTGACTTACGGTGAAGGTAAATATCGTTATAGAAATCTGGACTTATAATTTTTAATTGTGTATAAGTTTGAAATCGCCAACCCGCGTTGTGCAATCATGGTGATTAATGCCGATCAATCCGTGTGAGATGAGGCCTTTGCTCAGCAGTAGTTTAGATTGGATGATTGGGAGGAGAATTTTATAACAATAACACTCAAGGATGGAAAAAATGTGTAGAGAATATTTTTTTGGGACTTACAGGATCTATTGCATATTTTTAGTAAGTACTAGTAGTTTACGACAATCGGCATTAAAAGAGCTGCTCTCATCTACGGAGAGTACACTAAAGCAGTACAAGGATCTTGTCCTGTCGTGGGTGCATTTACAAACATACAAATTTACATACACAAACCGCCTAGATGCGAAACAACAATTTGTGGATCACACAAAGTGTTGTTCCGTGCACTGAACCTGCGACACGTTACACATCAGCCAGTTTCCCAAACACCACGCCAACCATGCAATCACAACAAAAAAGTTGGAAAGGGAAGACTGCTTCCCTTTCCAACTTTTTTATTGACGTGATCGGGTCCTGTGGTACTCACGCACTGTCTAAAATATTTTCTTATTTATAGAACAAAGGACCAGTTGTAAAATTAAGTACCAATCAAATAAATGGGGATGAAATAGCTGAAGTTAAACCTCGAGCGAAGCGGAAGATAGAGGCGCCGAAGGTACCAGAGCAGTTCCAGATCAGGTCTCGTGGAGACGTGGAAGCCACTTCGAAGGCTCTCCTCGGAAGGAAACTGTGTATACTGTCCGAAGATGTAGACTGTACGCGACAGGAACTCTGCAAGATCATTGAAACTCACGGAGGAAAAGTTGTTGCTAATGCGGGTAAGTTGTTTAAGTAAAATCATTTATTTCAATTAGACCCATACAGGCACTTTTGAACGTCAAACAAAAATTTTAAGATATAAAGTGTCGGTCAGTTATATTATTAGGTATATTTAGGGCTGATTTTTCAATAATCAGATAAATGTTATCTAAGGAATAAAAAATTGTTGCTGTCACTGTCTTATAAAATCATTCTGACGCGACGGCATTCCCCAGAAAATTTTATCTAACCATTGAAAAATCAGCCCTTAATGGTTTATTCACGTTACTATTTGATGAGGAACTCGACGTGGTTCCACCCGTTCGACACGACCTGTTTGGCCACACTAAGCGCTCCTATTCATTCGGGGACTGCCTAGAGGAGACGATGGAATATACCTACGGTGGCAGTATGCCTTGCCACATCCTCAGGGAAGTGGTCGGTGGCGGCAACCTCTCGCGTTCATGTCCCTTAGTCGAGGTCATGGTGTGGAGCGAGAGGAACTGGGATGCCGTCTCCTCTTTCTGCGAAGCAGTTTTGTTCGCAAAGGAGGCGGAGTGCGTGAGGGAGCCCGGCAGTCTCTTACTCACGCCGCCACTAATCACTCCACAATTGGCCGCAGTAGGCGACACTCCGGGCCTCGGGGATCGAGACACGATCTCCGGCCACCGGGTCAGCGTGCAGCGCGTTGCATCTGGGGCCGTGTAGCCTATAGGGCTGATGTTCAGTCGGGGTTGCGGGGCAACCGCAACAAGGCACCGCGGCCTGGGCCTAGAGCAAGAGAAGGAAGGGGGGGATTAGTCAGTAAGAGTCTGGCACTCACTCCTGCCTCATCCAAAGCGGGAACGTTAGTGACTCCGTATTCCTCGTCAGAGTTAGTGAGTAGGCCGTTATTAATTTATCCCACGAAAGTCATAACACTATATTTATTAAAGCTTCATTAATACCAAGATCAGTTTAATACTATTAGGCAGTTACGTATATTATTAAAAGAGTACCTAGTACTCTTTTACGTTTTTTCCCCGAGATATAGCAGGCCATGAAAAATGGCAATCATGTCGTGAGCTTAAGACAAGATTGCCATTTATTATGCGCGCACAAATGAATTATTCTTACTTATAAATTAAACAGCATTATGACTTGGTACATAAAGGTGCAGACACATGGTGCGGGGTAGCGGGGCAGCTAACGAGTAGAGTGCGCGGTGTAATTGCGTCACAACGCCTGGATGTACTGAGCACCACCTGGCTGCGGTCCCTGACCCCGGCTGAAGCACCCGTGCAACCTCCACCGCTATATATGATGGCTATCAAACCTGCCACGCGACAGACCCTCGCCAGGAACTATGATGCTTACGGAGACAGCTACACCGAACTAACTGATGAAGAAACTTTAAGGAAAGTCTTCGATAAAATGGATGGTGACGTAAGTAATTCTTTATTTAAAAATCAAAATATTTTTTTGTCTTGCAAAACTTTGCCCAGCGCTAGGATATTCTCCTGTCATGGTGCGCTTACAAACATGTTTACATTATTTTTCAATACAGGTGCAAATCTACCTCACACACCAAGAGATGCTGAGCTTAGACAAGGAAATATTTGGGGACAATAATCCGCATTCGTTCTTGCGTCCTTGCTCCATACATGTCACAGAGCTGGACAGTCTCAACGCCATTCTAGCTCGGATGTACGGGGCCAATGTCCTGGACTCTCCGTCCACAGACTGCACACATATTGTAGTCGCAAGCAATATTAAAAAGGCTGAACTAGATGTTCTTAAAACGTACAATGCAACGGTTGTTAGCGAAAACTGGTTAGAAACATGTTTTTCTGAGAAAAAATTTGTTCCAGAAGAAGAATTTCTTATGTGACATAGGTTGTATTTGTTTTTACAAATAAAATATGTTATTATAGAAGGGAGCTAACAATAAGAGCGGATTTAAGCATTAAGGTTTACCTACTTTACCAATTTGTGAAACTTTTTAGAGAAGTTAACTTTATTTTACATACTGGCTGGTTTCGCAATTTGCTAGCAAGCATCTATTTTATTATTATAATACAATAATGTATATTATGAATTATTAGATGATATTCGTACTTTATACATAATTTTTAAAAATTGTTTTACTTATTATCTAAATGGATTTTTTATTTTTTTGACTGTGTGACTAATCTTACCTATTATTTTATACGTTTATATTATAACTGTTATATAGGTACTTATTTTAATTGTTGTACTTCGCGTACGCAAGATTTGCAATTTTTATTGTTTTTACTAGAAATAAAATGTTTTATAGCAAATTGTGTGTTTCGTTTTACTTTTTATTATTGTAATATACATACGTAGTTTACTCAATGTCCACGACTCATATTTCAAGTATAGTTGTCAGCAGGTGAACCCAAAAATAATCTGAAAAAAATTCTTTGGATGTTTTAGCAAAATGTTAAATATGTAATAGAGAAACAATGTTAGCTACTGTACTACTTACATGGGATGTAGTTCGGCTACAGGTCGGTTAGCGCAGAAGTTGACCAACTGCTGTGCAACGTGTCGTGGGTTCGAACCCCGCGTCGTGCCAATAGTGTTAAGGGAAATACATGAAGTTTTGCTCTTTGAAAATTTGCCGGTGTTTGACCGTGTTTCTGAAAACATGTAAAGCCATTAGTCCGCCGTCTCACCTCACTGAGAAACAGCTACTTTCGTTAGTTTCGTAAGTCGTTTAATCTAATTTATGTCCACTCCTGTATTTAAGCAGAGCAACTTAACCATTGCGAAAATATCTCATCGGTTTTCTTCTCTTGCTTGGGGGCACCATCGTCGACAAAGAAAGTACCTATAAAACGACCAATCTAAATAAATATGCGCTCCCCTTAAGACTTATAATATAAGACTAAATAAAATTAAAAAGATGTTGTGGTTTGTTAATTCTGTTTATTGTACAATCAAAGGAAATGAGCCGCATAATGAATTGAATGCACGCGTGTCAGTAGCTGGCACTTACACAGAGTGCGTTTGTTTTACCAAAGGAGCAAAGGAAGCTTTATACTCCAAACACAATTACTGCCAACAAAGATACTTTGTCTGCTGTTATTAACTTACACTTCATTGGTAACTACGCAGTCTTGTCCCTTGTTATCAATGTTATTTCGGGCTGATTTTTCAATGGTTAATAAAAGTTATATGGGGAATGGTGATGATGCTGTCGCATCATGGCAGTATGTTTGTATAAGACAGTGATTATAGCAACAATTTTATTCTTCTACTTTTCGAAAAAAACGTTGCCCCACATAAGGATTTTCTCCTGTGTCGTGGGTGCAGTTACAAACATACAATTCCACATGCACATGACACGCAGACCCGGAACAACAATTTTTGGATCACACAAAGGGTTGTTCCGTGCGGGAATCGAACCCGCGACACGTAGCACTGCGGCCAGTTGCCCAGCCACCGCACCAACCGTGCAGTCAAGTAGGAAAAGCACTAAGTTTTAAACCTAGTACCTGTTATCCTTTTCGGTCGCACTCTGGCTAAACATGTTTTCCGAATAATCCCTTAACATAACGGTGAAATCCTTTTTTATTCTTGGACGTTTTTTGCGACAATTTAGTAACGTTTTTAATGATAGGAAAATAGCGCTGTGATTCAACCGTAGTTCGGCCTTACCCACCTAAGCCGCATAATAGGTACAAGAGTAGACCTTCACCTATTTTTGAGACAAACATGAGCAAATTTTGTGCCGTCAATGGGGATACATTCATATCTATCTATTTATTCAATAAGGAGATAACACAGTCTCTGTAGGTAACCGAAGACGCGCCGTGGACACGGGCAATTGAAATCCGAGAGCTAATTGGCAATCGCCGCTCGAGATGGAATATCATTTTCACGACACTATAGCCGACTAAATTGTTACGTGTTTCATATTTATTGTTTACCTACTTACAAATTTTCCAAATATCTTTCTATAAATATTTATATTTACTTACCAATTATTGTATTTCTTTGTAAGCACTCATAATACTAACCTATAGGTACTTTATGTAAGATAAATAGGTAGGTACTTATTCCTACAATTTTTTTACGAAAATAAAGGTAGGAAATTTCATAATGATTAATCAAACTTATTTGAAAAGCGTTTCAGATGTTGTACCTGCGTCACGTGATTGAGATTACCGGAAACCCAATCCCTATAGGTATCCCAAAATCCCTAAATAATACCTACACACAATTTTCACTTGTGTGTAGGTAGGTACTTTAATGTTTATGAATACACACACTACACACAGTGATAAAAATAAATAAAAGATGACAAATATTCAGTGCTACCTAAGTACCTAGGTAGGTAAATTTGACTATTGAAACTGTTGTTAACATCGCTACGTTTTTTAATGGCTTTGATATTAAAGCTTTGAAACTTCAGAACGATAGGAAACAAAAATGTTTATTGCTTCTTTACAGTTTACGTTATGAAGACGTGTCTTTGATAATGTTAAAAATATACACTACAAACACTTGAATATTACACAACAAGCGATTAATGTATCATTTTGCTCTGAAAAATAAAGCTTTACAATACAAAAAACGTTTGGTGCCGCCCGCCCACATCGACTGCTCCGCCAATCGTAAGGCGTGTAGGGCGGAGCGTTGTCTGCCACTGAACTTTTAAAACTTGAAGCCCACTTTACAGCCGTCAATCTCTGAAACGATATTTCAGCGTCAACATGACTCGGTGTCGCGTCTCATTAATAACTCAGTGATCCGTGGGCGCGGAACTGCTTGCTTGAACATGAATTAGGCAGGTTGTATAGTGATTCACTGAAGAACTATTTGCGGTAAATAAAATGCAAAACGAAGGTTCTAGTGAGGGAGAGAATACGGTTCGGAAAGCGCTGCGGACTCCGAAGTGCGCAAGATGTCGTAACCATGGTGTCATCTCGTGCTTGAAGGGGCACAAGAGATTGTGTCGTTGGCGGGACTGTCGGTGTCCTGGCTGTCTGCTGGTGCTGGAACGTCAACGTGTCATGGCTGCTCAGGTAGGTAAAGTAAAATGTTTGTTTAATAAACATGGTCTAAGTGCACTTAAGCGCCTGCTTCTTAGGTACTACTTAGTGTATAGTTTCGGTTACAAGCTTTGAGCTAAAAAATTCGGAGTCTGGAAAATTGTGTGGGCTGAGATTAAGTTGGTTTGGAACCTACCTAGTATTTTTAACGATGCAAAGCAATTTAAAGTTGTGTGATAGGTTTACTCTAGGCCGTTTGTGGCTAGGAAACATATTATCATCAACAATACCAAATAAGAAAAAAAAAATACTTTTAAAATATTTTATCCGTTTAAATCCTTAATAACGGTTGCTTCTACATCTTAGACGAGGAACTGTGTGTAGGTAGTAATTATGATAGGATTAAAAGTAGGTAAGTGAATTAAGTTATCTATCCTATTTTTAGAATTATTTGTTTCTATGATTTTTAATGTAGGTATGTAAGTAGATAACTTCCTTTCCTAATTAAGTAGTCGTTTAGGTACCATGGACCAAGAAGAAGAAGTGGTAACAATTACCCATTTTATTTTACCGACGAACATCTATTTCCTAACTAAATGTAGGTAGATATTCTAAGTCTTTATCATTCCATAGGTGGCACTTCGCAGACAACAGGGTGCTGGCAGTTCAGACGCTCGCGATGGAGAAGCTGCAGCTCTAGCCGCCCGCAAGAGAGCTTACCGCGCCCGACTGCGGTGCATGCAGATGTCCAGGACATTCCCAGTGCAACCATCCATCTACGGTGAGTGGAAATATTCAAATAACCCCTGTGGTTAATATAAAGGTAGCTTCAAATTTTCGGAGTAGGTATATCCCAGTAGCTGTAGGAATACATTTTTTTTATGGGATAAGTCGGCAAACGAGCAGACGCATTACCTGATGGTAAGCAATCGGCGCCGCCCATGGACACCCGCAACACCAAAGGAGTTACGAGTGCGTTGCCGGTCTTTTGGGGATAGGGGTTGCGGATATAAGGATTGGGAAGGGATAGGGGAAGGGGAGGGATTGGGCCTCCAGTAACCTCACTCACACGGCGAAACACAACGCTGTGGGTTATTACACGCCGGTATTCTGTGAGGCCGTGGTATCACTCCGGTTGAGCCGACCCATTCGTGCCGAAGCTTGGCTCTCCCACACTACACATACCTACTTTAAGATGAAAACAATACGATATTAAATCGGCGCACAAACAGTTTTTCTTCTCTGACAGCTCCGACCTAGAGGCGCGGAGGCGTAGGATTAGTGTTGCCCGCCCTCGCTTAATAGGATTTTATTCCTATCAGTACTTAGGTAGCTATTTCAGGCTTAAGATTATTCATGCTTTGGTTAGTAAACTGTCGTTTCCTTTTGTTTTGTGAGGATAAAATCATCAAATGACTTATCTCGTCCAGGCTCAGGCGGGAGGGTGTGTCAGACTCTTACCTCCTGCCTAAAAACCCGCCCGTTCCTTCTGCTGTCGAGGCCGCGGTACCTTAGTGGCCCCGCAACCACGGCTGAACATCGGCCCTGTAGGGCCTCGTTTGTAACGGTTTATTTTATATGAGGCGCGCGCGGTCCACTGGGTACTCTGTGTGTGTGTCCTCTCTGTGTCCTCTGGGTGGTCCAAAGAATGACAACTGCCAAGCGTTTCCTTCTGCCGGATCCGAAACATAGGAACCTGCTGAAGGTACTGTGCCTGGGTAAGCACCTGCGTCAGGTGGAAGATTAGAACGACATGACATCTCGCAAGTCACTCCACAACAAGGGCATAGTACCTAATCGTACCCAAAAATCCACAGGAGCGGTCCCAGGACCGATCCCTGTGAAACACCGCGCCTAAACCCTCGACCGGTTCCTCACGCCCCGGTAACTGTGGTCTGCCGACCATCCGTGTTTTCTCGGATTTGTCCTCTTTTGAAAGACATCTGGGCGCGTGTGGGCGGGGTTTAAATTTTAGTGAGGCTACAATCCGCGATCTCCCTTTATTAAAATCGGTTTATCACCTACACTAAAACCTGCTTCTAAGTGTACCTAAAACTTCTCTGAAAACTGCATCCAATTCAGTTCAGACCATGAAGCTAAAAATCCGGGTTATTTGCTTGCTGTTTCAAACAATCGCGAAAACATGTAGAGGCACATAAAGGTCAAATGAAAACCTCCTCCATTATTTGAAGTCGGTTCAAAATTATTGAAAATTCCGGGGTGTAAGCTCTAAAATTCGGAAAACCTACGTTTCTAAGAGGTATGTTTCAAGGATTGCACCCCGATCATTAATAGTATTTACCTAATAGTTTTGACTGCACGATTGGCGCAGTGGCTGGGCGACTGACAACGTGTCGCTAGTTCGATTACCGCACGGAACAACAGTTTGTGTGATCCACGAATTGTTTCTTCGAGTCTGGGTGGCTTGTGTTTGTGAATATGTATGTTTGTAAACGCACACACGGGAGAAAATCTAAAGGTGGGGTAGATATACCTACTTATTATTTTACATATATAAAATCCTATAGGTCGGTAGGTACAAAATATATATTATATTTAATTGTTTTAATTCAATTACAACTTAGACACTTAGGCAGTATAATATTTTTTAAATTAGAAATTAACCTTATTTTTTACATTTTTTATCTACGTACCCTACGTCCGATAACTACTAACACTAGTTAGTTTTTTTAATGAGTATCTAACTATCAATACCTAATAAGCTATTTTATGGATATAAGCGCCTATAATACACCCTCCATTACCGCCATGTGCACGTGTAGATATCTAAATTCTAAACGGTTATTTTGAAATGTAATGTATACTGTGACAGAGCAGGGTGTCCACACCACTCCGCAGCATGTTATTGTAGTAACCGAGCCGACACTGTCGAGTGTTTCGTTTCTCACCCGTGAAATGCTAAATGCGAATTAGCTGGATAAATATTTATTTTGGAACAACGGGAGAGAGTTAAATTAATGTTTTGGAGAAGAGCTTCATTTATTCATTAGGCTGAGCATTGTTCGTTCGAATGTTGTTAATTTTAAGAAGAAAAAATAACTTGGTTGGTTTCTTTTTACAGAGTCTAATTTTTTAAAGAATTTTCAAATAATAGTTTATGAAATTACTTGTATTTAAAGACAATTAATTGTTTATAATAGGAACTTTTCCGTAGTTCATTAATTCGATTTCTATTACTTAATATTTTACAGTCACCGCCGTTATACTCATCCTTAGGTACCTTTGTCTAAAATGAATGAATGAGTACAAACGGGCGACGCTTTTTAAGATTTCTCAGACTGATGTTTTAGCGCGACCCAACCATCGAAATCTACATTCTGAGGAAGCTAAAGAATAGGTATACCTAATTTTTTTATTTCTGATGTGTTTTTTGATAGATATTGGCGAACTGAGTCAATGTAAAAAGTAGGTAGCCCCATGTTGCACAAAATCTTTAAAATACAAAAATAGAGCACCACAGTCGTAATAAAAAATTTGAAAGACTTGAAAATGTCCCCGGTTCATTACAGAACAAAAGCTGTCATCTAACACTCGGCAACATTTCACTGTCTATTAACACAAAAACTACAATTTCTTTTAACTATTTTTATGGGCTCTAAAAAAGTGTGAAGATTGTTTTACAAGAGAGGCGGAGGCGGCTCTTTGTCGGGGTGTCGGATTACAGTAATACTGTTGACTGTAAACATGTCTTTCCGTTCTCTTGAATGATAGCTCCGCGGGTGCCAACAACGTCTTTACACATTTATGACATCTTGATAATATTCGTTTTAACGTGACTTTACGAGCAGCTTAACAAAAGTAACAGGTTGCACTAACATTCTATTAGAACAATAAAATGTACGGAATAAGTAATAGACTACCCACATAATCTACAAACATGATGAATAACAATTTTCATTAGCTTTAATTTCGTTGAAAAATAAAAATAAATTATTTATTTATTTAGGTATATAAAACTACAATTTTGAAACTTTTAGGTACTTAATGGTTATATTATGTTCATCTACCTTCCTCTTTACATTTTGTAATATTTCTAACGATCAGTGCCGGTAAGAGCCACTGACACCCCGAGCAATAATATTGTGGCGCCCACATGAGGGAAGCAATATTAAATGTTAAATTGTTGATCTGATCCCAAATAAAAAAAAATCCTAATAAAAAATATGCATAGGTACCTACCTATGCACAGAGCTTAGAACACAGTTCTGAGGGGGTTTGCACTAGGAGAGGCAAGAGACTCCAACTTCAGACTTTGGCGCTCCCCAGAATTTGTCGCCCTGGGCCATCGCCCCATCACGCCCCCCCCCCCCCTCCCCCCAAACGCCGGCACTGCTAACGATAACTAAATTAAACTAAAACAATGTCTGCATCACAAGATTTAATGTAAATAAATACAAATATGTACCTTAGTAGGTATAGGTACCTACTCCACCTAGCTACTGCAGCAATCACACAATTTTCCCCCGGTTTTAAAGTAGATAGTATGTAGGGTAAACATGCCAATTTTGGACAGTACCTAAGAGAAAAATAATGGTATTCTTGAAATGTTATTAATATTGTAAAAGTTTCAGTACCTACTAAACATGCTTAAAGTTTGAAGACCTATTCTTACACGATATTTCTACTGTGCTACTCGTGAGATATTGCAAACTGATATACAATAATAAAAAAAAACCTTTTTACCAATATTATGGACAGCAAAAATTCAGTTTTCGACATCCAGTAATGGCCTTAACCTAGTCATGGACACCCATTTATGGACATAATCCTAGTATTTTACGCCTAGTGCAAAAACTGTGATGGATTAAGGATTTGGAGATTCTGGGATTGGGGAGGGTTTAGGGAAGGGGAAGGATTGGGTCTCTGGTAATCACGCAAGCGGCGAAACAACGCTTGTGTTTGTTTCACGCCGGTTTTTGTGAGGCCGTGGTATCAATACTCTCGAGCCAAGCCATTCGTGCCAAAAGTCTCTTGTCTTTTTTTCAATTTTCATTTCTGATTCAGAGTTTTTTTAACAATTTCAAACCAAACAAGATTTAGGTTAAAAATATCTTGTTAAAATATCTTAATAATTGCTTCGGATATTTTAACCCGTTTTAACTGATTAAATAGCTCACCCCATTTCTAAAATAATAAATAAGTATTCTATTTAGAGGTGATTTTTCAATGGTTAGGTAGGTAAAAGTTACCTGAGAAATAATTATGCTGCTGTCGCGTCAGAATGTTTGTGTAAGACAGTGACAACAACAATTATATTCCTCAAATAACATTATTCATCTGACTATTGAAAAATCAGCCCTTAACCATTTCATATCGATGTCATAATTTTTATAATATACAACTAGCTGGTAGTACCTACAGGATGATAATTAGAGTAAAATTAGTTAAACCCTGAACATACAAAAGTACTTATAATTTAGTTACATCGCACCAGTTATAAACATCAATTAAAATCCAACAAACACAACCTCTCTGATATATAACAGGTGTGTGCTGTCTCCATGTCATAATTATCTAACCCAACAAACAACCGCACACCGCACTACCAAATAGCTAACAAGATCAACTTCTCTATCTATCTGAAAGAATGAAACAAAATTTGAAACTTTAAGGCTTTATTTTCTTCATAGACTGAAGAGAAAATTTTGTCATAGTCACTACGTAGTCAAAAAAATGCACAATTGTTCGACTCAACTGCATCAAGGTATTCGTGACATTCTGTACGAATTATTCAAAAAACTCAAGAGTCAAAAATCATTTATTCCAATTAGACCCTTACTTTTGAACGTCAAACAAAATTTTGAAGATATAGTGTCAGACTGTCGGTCAGTCATCTAGTGAAGCTATTTGCTCGTTCCAAAGTGTAGATTCCGATGGAGAAGAACGAGCAAGAAACTCCATGGTTACTCCATAAATTACGTAAAAAATAAAAAATAAATCTATTGCAAATAACATTTAATGTACCACTTTACAGTATGTAAGTTCAATACATAAATATAAAGCAATTTAAAACATAAAAATCTTATTCGAAGTGGCCTCCATTGGCTGCAATACAGTCCTTTAAACGTTGAGGTCAGTTATCAATAGAAGCACGCACCATTTCCATGGGAAAATTCTTCACTGCCAATCGTATGGATTGTTTTAGGGAGTCCAAATTATCATGACGTTTAGAGCAAGCCCTACTCTCTAAAGCTGACCATAAATCAGCTCTGATGAAGTCGGAAACGTTCGTTTCCAACCAAGACTGCGTGGACCGAGCTTTGTGACCCGGCGCCGAGTCTTGCTGGAAGGACCATTGTTGGTTATTGAACATGGTGTTGTTAAGGGGCTTAACTACCTTCTCAAGAATGGTATTTTGATACACTTATGCCGATGTTTTGATACCTTTTTCGCAAAAGTATAGCTCAGTCACTCCTTCATAGCTAACACCCCACCAAACCATCACTGAAGTCGGATAATGCCCACGTTGCACTCTTTCGACTAATTGAGAAGCTTCCTTAGAGCTTTGAGCATAAATACGGTCATTTTGTTTGTTAAAATGTTGCTCAATTGTAAAAATTTTCTCATCCGTAAACAAAATTTTTCTGTGACCTCCCTTTACGTACCGCTTCAGTACTTAGTTGTTTAGATTTTAACAGCCTATTCTTTTTTAAATTATCATTAAAAAATGTCCAGTGCGTCTCTTATAGGCTGCAAGTCCTAAGTCGTCTTTTAAAATACGCGACATGGTTCTAGGTGCTATCTTCATCTCCCGAGATAAAATCTTTTGCTTTCGGACAGGATTTCTTCGAATTTTTTCCCTTACTGCTTTGACCACCTTTTTCGTACGAACACTACGTGGACGGCCAGATCTTTTTCTGTCACAAACAGAGGAGGTCTCATTGTACCTATTAATAGCCCGGTACACAAACATTTGACTAATGCCAAGCGTGTGGAGAGTTTTAAAAATTGCATCTGGCTCCATACACACTTTGTGTAATGCAATCACAGCGATTCGGTTCTCTTTATCACCCCACTCCATTTTAATATCGCAAAATATTGAACAATTTATTGGCGCCAAAATAAGAAAACACGATGAAAAATTATATAAAAATAGTTTCCAAATTCAAATGTAATATATTGTTTATTTTAAATTGTAACAGTATTTATGGCCAGACTATGTAGATTCCTTTTCCGGGCGGGAGGGAGTTTCAGACTCTTACTGACTAAAAACCCCTCTGTTCCTTCTCCTGCTCTGGGCCGAGGTCGCGGTGCCTCATTGCGCTTACCCCGCAACCCCGGCTGAACATCAGCCCCGTACGGCGCGCGCGGAACGCTACGCGCCGTATCTCAGGCCTGGTTCTGGTCGGGCGGCGAGCTGTCCTTCCTCGCCGACCGCAGACCCGTGCGTCTATCTCTATGTCTAGATTGATAATTATGTTTATCTGACACCTTATCGAATATTTTTAAGTTTTTCCTAACATACATGTAGGTATGTATGATGTAGAATGGTACGGATCAAACTAATAGGTAAATATTACAAATATTAAATAAAACCTAAAACCTATTATATTATAATATATTTTGTACTGCGTCGCGTCGAGCCCGGCAACCGTTACCTACACAAAAATAATCCTTACAGCATGATTCAGTGTTCACATGCGACGACGGCGCGATGGCTTATTATCCGAATTGCTAAGCTATCAGGAGTTACACGTGCTATTGTTAGTTAACCATAAAAGATATGCTGTAAAACATTTTTTTTAGATAATTTTATCTAGAATATTTCCGTCATACATAATTTCTATGTAACTTTAACCATTAGGGTTACACACGCGACGGAAACTTACAAAAGGTAGTGACTCCTCCCGTTTTCCCTTCACTGTTTTGCTCCTATTATTTTTAGCGTGATGAAAAGTATTCTATAACCTGCCCAGGAGTATAAAGAATAATTGTACCAAGTTTTGTTAAAATCCGTCGATTAGTCTTTGTTTCTATAAGGAACATACAGACAGACAAAAATTTTACTGATTGCATTTTTGCCATCAGTATCGATCACTTACCTATCGCCCCCTGGTAGTTATTTTGAAAATATATTTACCTAATGTACAGAATTGACCCCTCTACTGATTTACTATAAGTAGGTACTTATAGATAAAAAGGGGCAGCGGAATTCAGCCGCAGATCAGGTAGCCATTTAAGGTTATTTCGAAATTCTGAGTCGTGAGCATATTTGCGCAGTCAAAATACACATTGGAAGTACTCAAAGGCACTTAAGCTTGTCTAATAATTATTATTCTTGAGTGAGTTCAATACAGCTGGCATCAGCATGGGATAGATGGATAGACAAGATGAGATTGTAGACACTAAAGCAATTTTTGTATAAATGGCCGAGATATTCTGGAGACGCCTCAGAACAGTCAGATGCAGTCGAGTTAAATTCTCAGTAGATCCTTTCCACTTTAAGTTCGCTTCAGTACTAAAGTCTCTCTTCTGCACAGTTCATACCTGTAGTCCGTCCAATTTACATTTCTCAATTCAATTAGTAGGAGGTATCTTCATCATCATCTTCAAAATCATTACCTACCTTTCTCATTTCTCTTATTTTGTTTGAATTAGCAGGTAGCAGACATAACATACTTTCACTTGCGTACACAGGTGATCGGCCATATTCAAATGATCCAGCTTGGAATGAGCGTGTCCGACGGCGCAGAGCTTTCGCGGACGTGGAATTAGATCGTGGAGCTGCGCCCTTGCCACCGCCACCTCCGGGCCCACCCGCCGCTCTACTCTGCAGGAACCTACTCGCAGCTTTACTCACCACCTACGCTCCATTACCTAACAGTCAACCTCAAAGACAAAAACTATCTTTTTCCATAGAGTCTATAATAGGTGTACAATAATTCTCACATTACTTGCTTCAGAATGTTCAGGATGTTTTAATTTAATATGAATGATGTTAAATAAAAAACAAGATATTCGAACAATGAGTGCTTTATTAACGAAATGTTTGGTAAAAGAATGTCTATTGTGAGGTCATCATATTACAACCAGAACCTGATTTCAAACAATTTATTACTGATATAGTTATGTTTTACATTTGAATTTGTATATTTTAAAACATACTTATATAAAATGAGTACAGAATTTTTATTTCAAAAGTGAGTTGTATAAATATATTCTTCCAAAATTATAATTTTTAATTTTGAACAAACTGCCTAGGGTTAGGCCTTAAAATAGAGGTAGGTTATGTCTATTATGAGTTTATACGTCTGTACTCACTTTATGTAAAACAAACAACAAAATATTAATTATAAATTATGGTGTGCAAATTTGTACCGGACTTACCTGAAATCATGTAGGATTTACAAAACAAACATATTATTTGCAATTTCGGTTATTTTCATGAAATAACTTACACTTTTGCCTACAGGTGACAAGGATTTACATTTAAGTATTTAAAATATATTTATTTTTATACACGATACAGTTCCACGCATAGATTTCCTATTGCAATTTGCAAGAGAACTATCTATTGGTAGTGATTTTGTAAATAAAAGTAGTAATATAATAATATACTATACATATATATAATAAAATATTAATAACATAATATAAAACATTGACTTATATGCGTTTTAATTTAATATAGTATGTAGTTAATAGATAATGGATAAAAATAAATAAAAAATTGCAGAACTAACAATATTAGTTTTATTTAGCGAAAGATTAATAAATATAAGAAATTCACATTGTCTACATTGTGTTTAGATGTTGATAATGCTTCAATTTTAAACGAGTAGGTCCGAGTGCAGGGTCTGTGATAAAATAATTGCTGTTGTGGTCCAAATTGTGACTTGGTTTCTGAATTTAGTCTGCAGCAAAATGAGTGGACCGTCATTCATACCGCCGATATCGCTTCGCAATGAGCAATGTCACCTCAAGGGCAGAAGAACAGTTTGGTAACTAGTTTCTAAAAACTTTATCTGTTTTTATAGAAACGAAACAGGTTCAAAACGCCTATGAATTCGTGGTGCAAAAACAATCCCTATTAAAATACGCTAGCATAATATTTACTCTAGCATAGCAGCTATTTTATTCCAAATGCAAGTGTCTATTTCACTACAATCTGGATAAATTTGTACATTGAAAGTATTTCGTATGAACTATGTTCCACTATTGTAGTACTCCAGTAAGTTTATAACATCCAGATAAAGTTAATGCAAACGTTTTTTAGATTTTATCGAAATACAGATTTAGATATATGGTGGGCAGAGAGGGACGAATGAAATGTCACTTGGAAACAATTATTTTATCTCAAGTCACCCTTTGGGTATATGGGACCATTGTTATAAAGACGTATGGCGGAACCTATTCAATGATGAAGTAATTCATAATGGTTAATACATTGACATGAACAGCTACAGACAACTGTTGAGCGCAATTATAAAGCCCCGATCCAAAAATCCTTATGGATAACATATACGTAGACGTATTCAATCAGTGTGGCTCACGCGACCGTTGCAAGTGTTCGCATTTAAACTTTATAAATTAACTTCATTCCAAAGACATAAACGGAATGATCCTCTATGTAAATGCTATAGTATAAAAATATTTTCAGCGCTGAGCTCAACTCTGTAATTGAATATAATATAAGCTCAATCCAAATGATTAACTAACGTGGACAATGTGATTATAATATTCATATAAATAAATACAACGTACGCATGTTTTGACAATAATCCACAACACAATATTACAATTTAACGCGACACAAACAATCTACATTTATATCGACAATGCATCACAATTAATGTTCGTCCAAACGATACAACTATAATATTTATAATAAAATACTAACTATGCCTCAAGGAAGGGAGTGCCTTACGAATGCCGCTTCACTCACACATTCACGCATGCGATCACTTATCCAACTATTATCACGGTTTTTTTAGGAAAAACAAACATCTACATTAAAAAAATCATGACCATAAAATCTACTAACCTTAAAAATAAATTACGAGGCCACCCGTAACATATAATCGATATAAAATGGATTCTACTTAAAAAATAAACAATGTGTCTCAAATTTATCCGAAAGGTAGCTACAGTAATTTAATGTTCCTACGGGTACCGAGACGTGAAACAGCTACCGTATGGACACGACGGCTCGGTGCGGCCGCACCTACCTGCGAGTCGTCCGGGCTTCGTTGGCACATGACACGGGATGGGACTAGACAGGACTCAGGATAGGAACTCAGCGGGTCTCAGGGATCGGGGATATCTCCTACTCGATACAATCACGACGTGTATATAATATGTATATCTAAATATTATAATTTAGCGATTCGCAAAACTAAAAGTATAGCAACACTCGACACTGACGTTTTATACTGAGCCAAAAGACAGAATTTAGATTACGGAATGTTAAAATTTCTTTTTATCCCCGAAATACCATATTAAATCGACGCTCCCTATACTACGATTGCAATTTGTTAAATATACTAATGTTCATTCGAACTACATAATTTCAGACCCCGTATCTGAAAAAAAAATTAAATGATATTATAACAAGTGTTTAAAGTCAGACTTTTAGCTTTTCATAAAACAAAAAAATAACAATTTTACTTGAATATAATAATAATATACATCGCAATATGTATTTACATATACATAATATTATTTTAATTAAATATACACGTAAATAGTACTTTATATCAATCATAAAGTTGACCTGCGCAGCGGACAGTCGCGGGCGCGACGCACACGAGTACAAAATGTGTAAATATAGCTTTGTGAGAGTTGCACGGACCGCACCACACGTCGCCCTGCAAGCGTCCACCCACCGGCCAACTCACACATACAATTCCATTAAACAATATACAACGTAAAAATACTATTTGGTATATTATATAGCAGAAATCTAGCCTTCATAAAATCTATCAAAGCAGTATATCATATCTACACTGACACAGACATAAAATCATCATACACATATATTAGTCAAAAAAAAAAATCCAGTCACAAATCACAGTTCACATAAATTCTCGATTTTACTAAGTCTTTGTAATTTATATAAAATAATAATAGTTAACACGTCAATTTTAAATTGTAATAAAATATATTTGCGATGCTCTCTAGCTAGTGGGTGTAGATAAATGCTTTTGGACAAATCAATTACCGAATGACTGTTCATTTGAAATCAACTAAAAGTAGCAGCATTTATGTTAGTGAATTATAAATTAAACACGTGCTGTATTTGTGTTGAGCAGTGAATGGCATCAGGCAACCTAAGCTAAACGATTACGAGCAAAAGGCGAACGATGTGACTGGCGATGCGAGTACTTGCGATGTCTACTACGCAAGTAGCTCGCGATATGATTATACTTGCGTTATGTAGTTACTGGTATCGATTCGATATCATTTCTTATCAATATCAATATTATGTTTACCTTACTACTGCTTGTTTAGGTAATTCCTATGATGAGACTCGGATGATTCGATGTGTCGTTATTTAAAACTTGAAACTATAGAACCAATTTGCAAAATTCAAAATAAGAATGAATCATATTTTTCATAAACACGTCTCATCTTTTTGTTACTAACTAGAAACTATCTCTAAATTTCATGCAATTACAGTAGATATACCACATCTAACTCGGTAATAATCACCGTGTTACAAAATTTAGTGAGTAAAACTACAACTAGAAAGGGCCAATGAATGTACACTCGTTACGATGGTTATACAAAGAGGCACGTAAGCATGCACCGTGCAACGTGAGTGTAACAAGATACGAATAGAAAGCCTAGCACCCCACGTATACGTGTGTACGCAGACCCGGCCTGTGCGTTGTGCGTCTGTCGTGCAAGCCGAGCGGACCCATCCAAGCTACGATTACTTTATACTCGGTGCACAATACACTTATTAAGTGATTACGCCGCTTCTAAATGTACGTCTCGTCGAACGAAAAACAATTTCAGGTACGAACAGAAGAATGAAGTGTAACAATTTACAATCTAGATTATATTCTCTGTCGATAGGTACAAATGTGTAAATATCCTCGCTAGTGTAGTGAGGTCAGTGTGTTGGCACATAACGCGGCGGACAGGCGGCGGCCGGCCCGAGCGAGTGTTCCCTACGCGCGGGTGCCGCGCCTGCTGCGACACCCTCAATGTCTTCCCGACCCGTGCTGACATTGGTTCCCCTGCAACACACAACGCCGTCAGCGCCACCTCCCACTGTACGCCACCAATAGCTAGTCAGCCAGCCAGGCATCTCTACTTACCCAAACGCAGTGATGACGTCTATATCCCGCACATGGCAGACAGGCGCACGCTGAGCTGCATGGGAAACTGGTCGGTGAAATGGCGCCAATTTTCCTCGCCGACTTGGTTCTTGAAACCGTGCAGGATTTTGGTGAACATCTCCTTCAAATCGTCCTTAGGGTGCGACCACGAGGCGACAGCGTCGCAGAAGAACATGAAGTCTTGCACAACCCCGGCAGGGTTGACCTGAATCATCTGACAGATACCACGGAACGCAGAGTCCTTCTCGTCGTTGTCGCGAATATTTCGCAGTGAGGTGCACCTGATACAAAATGCAGTGTTGTAAGGAAGAGTTCAGTGGATCGTGTTATTGTGATCACTCCTTAGATGATTTTTCAATAAATTAAAACATACAATGGCGAAAAATATTCATGCCCTTACGTTACTTAAATAATGCGACGTTAAGAAGAGACTTTGAAAAATCATCTAATCTAATAATTAATAAAATATCTAAATATATTGATGAAAGTAATCAAGCGTTAATAAACTGTGTACACTATTAAAGGGAAACTCGAGGAAAACATAGAATGGATTATTAATGTAAATAGCAAAAAAAAATTGAAACTGGCACACAAACATATTTGTATGGGTATTGGAACTCTGATCATTCCAAACTGTAAGCAAATTATAAATAAAATATATAATATTAAATAAAATCAACTAGACACAGTAGAAGTAGTAATAAATAAAATTATTCAATAAGATGAGCATGTTTGCATTTGAAAGTTAGTCAAATAATTTGTCTTGCAGTTTGGTGTAAATAATAGTTTATATTGTTTAGAAAGCGGATGGTGTTCAACACATATAAAGTACAGCACTGAAAATAAAATGATCAAACAGCTTAAATTCCACCCAAAAAACTTTCCCCCAAGTGTGGCCTTACATAATCACAGAATTAATATTCTCATGCTTGGTTCAACTTAAATCAGGAACAACAAATCAAAACAATAATATTAACAAGCCATGGACAAACACCATCCACAATCGAAATAATACCGGTTAATAACTTATTCAATATTAAACGTAATAGTAATATAATATAAAGTAATAATAAAAAAAATGACTACAGACCACTGGCGTACAAATTGATGTAAAACGGGTGCGACGTCGTGGGGGCACACATAACCTAGCCGACCGATAGTAATCGCTACACGCCACGACATACCGAGAACAAAACCAAGAAAACAAATCAACAAACCATTCAAAACATATTAAATTACATAATTCAACAGCAACAAATTAGTGTTACAAATGGAAAAACGTGAAACAGTCGTATTTGCTAAAGAATCCATCAAATTATATAAGTATCGCATGTTTGACAAAAGATGGCCCAGAATTTGTTCAGAGTTAAACATTAGGTAAAAGTGGTGTATTGATGAAACAACAACATAACGAACTCATGCAAGCTGATGATTACACTGCGAGATCTACGCCATCTTTCACATCAGGCACACACTTCACCTTTCAGTTCCATTTTATTTCCATTATATTTACAATTTACCCCAAAAACATAAAAAAATATATTGATGAGGATAAATAAAGCTTTCAAAAATCTACTGTTTGTGTTATATGTGGAATATATTAATTGTATACAATAGAATACATGTTCATAAATATATGTTTTGTAGAAAAAGTGGTATACAATAATAATATAATCATGTGTTTAGTACTGAGTTAGTCTCTCTTTACATCATATAGGTATTGTGATACATATTATATGATCTGCCAGGTAAGATATAGGCAGGGAGTACTACAGCAAACACAAAATGGGGTATACAGATAAACATGAACATCACAACAACTCAATTTAAAACATTGAATAGTAACATATACATAAAAAGTATACATAAAACATGGCTGACACCAAGAAGTCACTTATTGGATATACTTCTAGCAAATAAAACATTACTTTTTGTTATTCTTAATTTTTTAACAAAATAAATGCCTAATTATATTAATCAACACAATCACTTACCTGTATTTTCAAGAAGAGTCTTGGGAGTATTTGGTCTGTTGATAATTTCAACCAAATGGCTCAAAACTAGAGGAATATACTTTGATGTTTCAGGCCCTGGAATAATTATATTAAGTCATGTGATTGTAAACAAGTCTTGAATTATAATTGAACATAACCATTGTTAAACACTTACCTAATTTAATGCTTATTTCGCCGATCGCCCAAGTGGCATTATTACATACAGAAATGTATTCTGGATTGAGGTTCATACCGAGTATTGGTAGAAACTCTGGTATGTAAGGAAGTACATGTTGGAAACACGCCTTGGTCAAGTCACCCAGCAGCGCAAACGACGACTGACGCACCTGATGTGATGAGAACAACTTAAAATATTTACTCCTATTTAAGACAAAGAATCCCATCACCCAATAAGTGTTAGTTACTGTTAATTGTATGTTACAAGATATACAATGAGTATTAATGGTTCTGGTTGATGAAATAAGTGGTTCTTGACCTCAGTTGCAAAATGAAAAAATGCAAGAACAAGTTGCGCGATCCAAAGATTTGTGCCTTACAAGCCAAGCTCTCTACAGTAAGTAGAGAAACTAACAGTAATGAAGCAAGGCTTGATGTGAAAGATTTCATCAAATCTCAAATAGTAAAATTCTGAAATAATGGTGAAGACCAAATACTGATTTTACATTGAGCTCTTAGTAGATACTTTTAATTATCTAGTCTTTCTAGCTACAGATTTCAACTTTGAAAGTGTTGCATTTACTTAAAATTATGAAATGTAAACATATAATGTAATAGTTAGATAAAATTAGCTTCATTACATTTTTTATGAAAAATTAGCAATTGAAAGTATAAGAATTTATTGCATTTGGACAACGCAACAAGTCAATTTACTAATAAGATTAAATATATATTGTGATACATTAAGACTCCATAATACCTTGAAATAGAACAAATACCCTATGCGCCCATGTCCCTGTGAGTAGATAAGCAAGAATCACATACAAGATATACCTCAAGCATCGGATCCTGCATGCATTGGTAGAGCAGCTGCATAAGGTTGGAGTTGAACACCAGGTGGTCTATGTGACCATCCAGGCCTTCTGCCAACCCACTCAGCAGATCCAGCGCCACAATCATGAAGTCCTTATCAGGTGCTTCAAACTGTTCTGGACTTTGTGTGTTTGCCTGAAAATATACTTGTGTTACTATTTAGGAAACTATCAAACACAGTTAATTTCCAATTTAATATTCTTATTATAATTAATATTTTAACCATGCATTTATTATGTTTATTAAGAAACTCTTCTTGTAATAATCATAAGAATGTATGGATGAGCATAAAACTGTGATAAGTTAAATGATATCTATAAATATGCACTCTATTTGTAATTATAATTAGGTAAAAAGTTCTATATTCCATTGGCAAAGTGACCATCACTTATTTATTAGCCAAGCTAATAACAACCAGTTAGATTTTACGTTTTCACACAGTATAATTATAACACTTTTTGCAGATGTATTAAAGTTGATTACTTTTAGATTTTTTTTTTCTTTTGATAAATTCAATGGGATTTTATTCCATACCTGTTATCATTAAGATATACTTGAGTCATCATTATTTTGTATTTATAATAGACCCTACAAAGATATTTGTTGATAAAGCATAACATTCAAGATAACTGAAAAGTGGAATAATGGTTCATTCAACAAATTCTGTTGGATCCCTTATAAAATGTAACACTAAGGGACTAACCATTATAACAATATGATTATTTATGCAATATGACTATTTACACAACTTTAAGTTACCGACATATTAAATCCACACAAATTTCTGTAACTAGAAATATAAGCTATCCAAAATTCTTGAATAATTATATAAGTAAATGGTTCAAATGTGTTCAAAATGTTACTGAATTTAGATATTACTTACTATATTTTGATTTAATGTTTGTTCTATTAATGATACACATCTTCTGAACACTGGTTCGCAGTATGGGAGGAATCCTGATTGAAGAGCTGTAGCCACAGATGACAGGCACTGTAATCAATACTTTCTTAAGTACCTATTCAAACAATTTATTTTACAGACTGTATTTGTTTATATCATACCTCAAGAAGTGGGAAAAGATCCTTATCTTCATCCTTCAAAAAGTTCCACTTATTGATAAGTGGTGGCATCAACATGTTGATATATTCTGGTTTGTTGAGGTGGTGACCCACTGAATCAGCTAGTGTACCAATAGCGTCATACAATATCAGTAAATTCTTGTGTTGATATTTGCTGAACGCGTACACAAGTGTTTGTAAAATGAAGCCTAAGTAGGGAACAAGCTCTGTGCATGCTTCTTCCTCGAGGGTGGCGAAAGCTGAACACGCCGCTTCTTGTACTCGCTTGTTGTTGTCTAACACGCACTTTAGTAACTCAGTCATCACAGGCTTCAGGTATGGATCATGTGATTGAGATACAATCCAAAGTGAATAACGAGAAAGTGTCCAGCAGGTGATTGCGCGCACCAGGGCCTTGCGCTCGGCCAGACAGCATACCAGGTATGGGACCAAATCTGGTAGATGTGGGACCATACCATCCATGCAGCCATCTGCCACAGCACCCAAGGCTAAAATGCCACTCTCCTGAAAGAAAAAACCGAGTTTAAGTTATTCAATATAGAAACACGCATCGAAAATGTTTTTTAAACATTTCATACCTTTATAACCCAATCTTCGTGGAATAGTGTCTCTTTAAGTATCGGGAAGAGAACAGGTAGTAAGTCAGCGCGGAACACGTTGGCAAGCACGTCGAGAGCTGCCGCACTGCATTTACGTAAGTTCCAGTCCGACAACGAGCCATCATCTGCGTCCGCACCGCCGTCGTCTTCGTCGTCTGACTCGCCACCTCCCGACATATTGCTGTCACCTGCTCCAGCTGAATCAAAACACAGTTATTAAGTAATTACAATACAAAACAATGTACAAGTTGTAAAATGGAGACATAAAATATTTAATCTTACCATTATGTTTGACTGTGTGTGATCGTGGCTTGTGGAATCGTGGTCTTATGTCGGATTCCCGATCAGGTTCTGCGTCATCTGCATCATCGTCACGATCACCTCGTAGTAAGATCACATCCATTTCAGAATACCGCATACCTCGTACTAAGATAGGCAGAAGAGCTGGTAGTCTGGGGCCCAAAACCTGTGAATATAAAAAAAAATTTATAAACGAATCATGTCACAACTGTGCTTTTTCGCTAAAATTGACAGATAGTAAGAATTGTTTGTAACTATTAAGTTTATCAAAAAAGCATGTAACTAAACTACATTAATTCATTATTATCAATATTTTCAAGGTTAAATAACTCATATTAAAGCAAAAATTATAATTACCTCACGGCAAATATTTTGATCAGCTAGTGTGAGCCAGAACTCACAAGCTTCTAAAGCAACACCCTCCTCAGGATCCTGGGTTCTCACCAGCATGTACTGTAATATAAAAATATGAAACATGAAATAAAATTTAATTTACATTTATTTATTCTACTACACAAGTAGTTTTTGTTTACCTCAATAATGTTAGGTAAGTGAGGGATAAGTCTGTCCAATCGCACATCCAGAAGCAAGACTAAAGCATGACAAACATTTTTCCTGACATCTGAATCCTCATCAGCTGCCAAGTGGAATAAATTCTGAAATTAAGATAATATAATTTAGTAAATAGTATGAATTATGAAGAGAACATGCACAGTTGAGCAGTACAATTTTTTTATATTTTGCAGTTGGTCTTACCTCAATGAAAGTATCAATGTGCAGCATGAGAGCTTGTATTTGGCCCGTGATAAAGTAGTTGACACAAGCAATAGCGTGACACCTGATTTTAGGTGAAGAGTGGCGGAAAAACTGCAGGAATTTCGGAATCAACACATTCAGTGGTCTGTTCAATGCATCGCTGTCTAGAACATCTCCTGTGTCTTCACATATCTTTTGGAGAGCCCCAAATGCTCCCTAAAATTATGATACAATTATATTGATATTAATATGATGCAGACACTATTCAATTTCAAAAATAGTTTTCATTAACTCACTGCTATTTAGGCTACCTTTACATCAATTTTGGGAAATAATACCATTTCAATTACAACAAGATCAATATTTCAACAAATGTTTTCATAAAATGAGGTCATTTCAAAGTTACTAATTTTTAAGCAATGATTTAAAAAACTGAGGAAGTGATTAACTTACTTGTACAGGAGATGTAAGAATATCATAAATATAGGCAAAATAAATACATACCTCACAAACATTGTAGTCTTGTGAATCAAGCATCTGACATAAGGCTGGTAACAGTTCAGGCCACTTAGTTAGCTCTCCCTTGCTAGCTATAGTGGTGATAATGATACCCACAGTAGCTCGAATCAAGGGAGAAGGATCGCCGACTGCTGATAGGCATTCTCGTTTTATGAATTCCGCAACTTCAGGCAGAAAACTGTTGTAATGTGCTTTGACATTATTTTTCAAAATCAAACCACTTAAAGATCTTGTAGGTTCTTCTTCACTGACAAGTTTAGTCAAGACAAAAATCAAATAGTTGTTAAAGTCTGGGTACTTGTTCAATTCTTCCAATTTCTGATATTACATTGTTAAGAAAATAAAGGTTGTCAATGGCTGTCATGTCGGAAAAATCGATTTTATCGCAAGCGTCTAGATGAAATGAAAAGTTGATAAAACAGCATTAATACCTACTTTTACGATAAATTGCATTGAAATATGAAAACTTTGATAACGATTAGTATATAAATAAAAAATAAAGCGGTTAAAGTTGCAAAAAATATCCACGCCGATAGCTGTAAAGATGTGAAAATTATGAAAAGGATACTTGTTGTACAGCCCTCTGCGTAGCTGTATCTGGTGATTGAGACTCTTTGAGAAGTGTTAGTATTTGTCTTAGTCCTTCTTGTTCTGGTTTCCACTCCATTTTCATAATATTTCTACGAAACGGTTTTATTTCACTCGGTCCCGTAAAGATCAACCATGCCAAAATTTGTAGAGTTACCAGTTGAAATTATTAAAATGAAAAGTTGTTTTATTGTGCCTTTAGCAATTTTATCGAGAATATTTGTCAAGCCGGGTCATTTTTTGATTCTTCGATAGTTAGATATACTTTCGATATTTACTACTAAAAACTTATAGGATGTATAGTTTAAATGGTTTTTAAACACAAATATTTAACGTTTTCACAACTTATTTCTCAAAATTGGAAATATTGTCTATGACTACATTTCATTCGAACGGCTATTTCGGATTAATCGGAAACTGACCACAATTTAACATTATTTTAGTTTTACATAAAAAGAGTATCGGCGTGTTAATATCGTAATCCTTTAAAAATTAAAAGTACAATATCTGCAGAATTCATAGACAAATTAAAAAATCTTAGACAGAAACGTAGAAAATTTGCAACATATACATTCATACATCATCTGCCTGATTTCATCCACAGCTGGACATAGGCCTCCCCATTCCCCAAATGAACGCCACTGAGTTGAATGCATAATATATTTTATAGCATATTCAAAATTTAATAAAATTTTAATTTTAAGCTGAAATCTGCTGTATCCAAATTTGATGTGATCTTTGACTAATGCTGGTAGAGTGGCAACACTTCATCAATTTGTCAAAAAAAAAACTTGAAGTTCTGAAGAAGCGCGTGTTTATATTTTTGAATTAAAGTTTTCAATTAAAATTATTCAAATAACTGCTAAAGAAAGTCAAGTAAAATGCCTAAAGTGAAAACAGAAAAGAAGAGTCGTGTTCATAATGAAATTGCTAAGCAAGGTGATTGTTAATAATAAGGTTATATTTAGCTCTCCGAATTATTTTTGTTTTAAAATACTATGTTAATAACATAATATGAATATATAATAATAATGTAACTAATGTGTATTTTAATAATTCTTTTAGGTATTCAATTTAATAAGGATTTTGGTCAACATATATTAAAAAATCCTTTAATTATAACTTCTATGTTGGATAAAGCTGGTTTAACACCTACTGATATTGCTCTTGAGATTGGTCCTGGTACTGGTAACATGACAGTGAAGTTACTCGACAGAGTTAAAAAAGTTGTTGCTTGTGAAATTGATACAAGGTAAACTTTCTTCATAATTTAGTTGAAACACTTTGTTGTGACATGTTTGTTTTGCTTTGATCTTAGCTAATCAATGTTTTTTTGTAGATTGGTTGCTGAACTTCAAAAGCGTGTTCAAGGAACCCCTTATCAAGCAAAACTTCAAATTATTGTTGGAGATGTTCTTAAAACTGAATTGCCATTCTTTAATATTTGTGTGGCTAATGTACCATATCAGATCAGTTCTCCATTAGTCTTTAAATTATTACAGCACAGGCCATTCTTTAGGTGTGCCATTCTCATGTTTCAACAGGAATTTGCACAGAGACTGGTTGCAAAACCTGGTGATAAGTTATATTGCAGACTCTCAATAAACACACAATTGTTGGCTCGAGTTGACATGTTGATGAAGGTAACAATAGTATACCCAGATTATAAATTAAATCACCAGCATTCACACACCTATTGTCCTTCTATTGTGTCTAATATTACTATCATTGAAAGGTTTATATTTACTATTATTTATAACTAATGATAAAAAAATTACAGGTTGGCAAAAATAACTTTAGACCACCTCCAAAAGTTGAGTCAAGTGTGGTGAGGATAGAGCCAAGAAACCCACCTCCTCCTATAAATTTTATTGAATGGGATGGATTAACTAGGATAGCATTTGTTAGAAAAAATAAAACATTAGCAGCTGTTTTCAAACATGGCACAACTATGGCAGTGCTAGAGAAAAATTATAGGGTGCATTGCTCCCTTCATAATAAGGTAAGATTGACTAAAGTTGCATTGTCACTAATACTTTTTAATTGCACCTTATCTATGTATTTATGTGTAATTATTTTTATAACACCCCCTAACCAGCTGTATACTGTTCCAGGAAATACCAGAAAACTTTGACATAAAGGAAAAGGTTCAAGAAATATTAACAAAATCAGAAACAGATCAAATGAGAGCCAGAATGATGGACATAGATGACTTCATGAAAGTGTTACATGCTTTCAATTCTGAAGGCATACACTTTGCATAGTATATTAATTTAAGAATTAAATATTTTATAACTTTTATACTGTTTTAATCGCTATTATTGATAAAACTACCAAACAAAATAATCATGCCATAACAGATGAAAAGTTCGCATTATAAATATATATTTTAGGTAGTATTTATATTGGAGATTTCTTGAATCCCTGGGAGGCATAATCATCAGCTTTATGTTGGGATCTGAAGGGAAATCCTGGCTGCCCTGGCAGAACTAATGGCTTTGACTTATGTACTCTCCAGCCTCCCTTCTTAGTCCAATCCTGCAAATAATTACAAATATACATAGGTACATGTTCTTGTTTTGTACATAAAACTTAAATTGTGAGAAAAGCTACTTTAGTTTTTTACTTTAGAAATTCCTTCACAGTCCTAATCAAATGAAGATATTTGAGAACTATAATTATTAAATTAGCTGGGTAAAAAATACTTACATTTCCATTATATTTAAAATAATAATGAGTACAAAGTATTCCAAAACCGATTAGTCCCAACTTTCCAGTTATGTATCTATAGTCAGCAGCGCGTGATGCACCCTGTAATATAGGTTATAACCATTAAAATATTTTGAATACTACACTGTTTACAACAGATAGGTTACTGATGTTATGTAATCTCACCAGCACTGGCGTGAGCGCCGAGTACAATTTGTCTAAAGGCATGCGGTAGATACGGCGGAATATATTGGTGCGTTCTCTCCAATATTCTTCAACATGCACAGGTTCATTGGGAGCCAAGACTTGATCCTTCAACCACTGCTTGCGCCAAGCTCTCTCAACATCGGTCATACCAAGGCATCTTTCACGTTCTGATGCCACACGCCCGGCAATGGCCATAGGCTTCACGCCCGCCGTTTGAGCCATGTTGACGAAATGCTATGAAAGCCTGTGCCGATTATTATTCTGTTTCTTTAAAAATCTTCAGGCTAAATGCAAGTCGCAATCAGTTGTTGACACTTGACAGTTGGCATAATTTGACAATATAACAACATGACAATGACATTAAATATTAAATCTACACTTGAAAGTAGTTGAAATTTAAATGCTTGAGTAAAATATGACCTTTCAATTGACGGATAAAGGAGTTTTATAGTTTAAGGTCACATGATGCAGCAGTTTCAAATCTTTATTTGTAATCAAATTATATAATTTTGAGAACACTTGCAACATTTGTAGTGGTGCTATTCAAAACGGCAATACCATCACGAATCTGTGAATTTATTGTCTGTTATAGTGTCTGTGATAAAAAAATTAAAAAAAAAAAGAAAATCTACTTGGGTACGGTGTTGGTGATAAGTCAGATATTAAAAAAATCTCAATAATCTTTTAATCCAGAAGTAATTGAAATATCCTGTCCTGTTCAAGATGCCTCGTTACCATAAGGTAGAAATTAATAAAACAGAATGGATTGTCCCAGAAAGATATCAAATGCTTACACCTGTGGGTTCAGGTGCTTACGGACAAGTTTGGTATGTGTTTATGAATATATTCGGCAATATGCCAGTATTTATTTGTATTTGTTGTAGGTACTATAAGTAATAATCTTGATTGTTTTAATAGCAATTGAAATATGCCTAGCAACAAAATATGTAATATTAGGTACATTGCCCCTACGTGGGCGTGCAGATTAAGGTGTTAGTCTGTTCTTGAAGTGAATAATTTGTTTACAGTTCCGCGATCGATACTCTGCATAATATGAAAGTGGCAATTAAAAAATTGGCGAGACCGTTCCAGTCTGCCGTGCATGCTAAGCGGACTTATCGCGAACTGAGGATGTTGAAGCATATGAACCATGAGAATGTTATCGGTAAATAAATACGAAATTATATTTTGATAAATCATATGTTTAGTATTTTTAAATCTTGAGATGTTTGAGAACCATTATACACTTTTGTTCTAAATATCAGCTTTTGTAGATTTATTACTGTTATGATATTTGACACCTGGTCCAAACATGCTTTAGATACATAAATACAACTACTTCTATTATCACTTCTACACCAGCTGGTTGATCCCAGTCAGCAAAAGAATCTGAAAATATGTATCAATAAATTCTGTACCTTTAAGTTGAACTGCATAAGTTTTTGTAATCCTATAATTATTAAATTAATTCAGGTCTGCTGGATGTGTTCAGCCCTGAAAAAACCTTGGAGGAATTTCAGCAAGTATATTTAGTGACACACTTGATGGGGGCTGATTTAAATAATATTGTTCGTACTCAAAAACTGTCAGATGACCATGTCCAATTTCTGGTCTATCAAATTCTCCGTGGTCTTAAATATATTCACTCAGCAGGAATCATTCACAGGGTAAGTTTTCTTTTGTTTATTTGTTGTCTATATACAGTACATGCCCCAGCTGCTAGACTTGGCACCAGCTGCCCAGTTTGGAATGTGTGAGTCAGATCCAATAAATAGTACTCTCTGGTTAGACTTAGATATATATTCTTGTGTTCACCTTTTGGCTACAGGTGTAAGATGGGGATTTCCATTATTTTAAACCATTTAATTTAACCAACAATCACTAAGCCATTCATGTTTTGCTCACTGATTGATTACCTTGATTACCTATATCTTGAGGAAAACTGACTACTAATTTCCTAATTGTAATCAATATTTTCCCATTGCATGTTTTAACTACAATAAATTGTGTATGATATCTGTTTGTGTATTTTCATTATATTAACTCAAGTATAAATTGTAGGATCTAAAACCTTCTAACATTGCTGTCAATGAGGACTGCGAATTGAAAATATTAGATTTTGGTCTGGCCAGACCAACTGAAACAGAGATGACTGGCTATGTAGCAACAAGGTATGTACTTTAATAAAATGTAGTTTTTTATAGTTAACAATGCCATTCTAATCAATTTCAAAGGTCACACAATTATTTACTTTCTGATTAGAACCATTAAATTACACTTAGTGTTGATTAATAGGACTATCACCTCTGATAGTCTGTTAGAATGTTAACTACTTTAAAGTCATTTTTAGATCTCTTATTCATAATTCTTGGCCCTTAATTTGGGTTTGCAGCTTTAGTGGATAAATGTACAAATTTGCAGGTGGTACCGAGCCCCCGAGATCATGCTGAACTGGATGCATTATAACCAGACTGTTGATATTTGGTCTGTTGGCTGCATTATGGCTGAATTATTGACTGGTAGAACTTTGTTCCCAGGTTCAGACCGTATCCTTTTAATTGAACAGTTTTTAAGGAAGATTAATGTGTAGACATTATTTATGCATGCTATCTATGTTTAGCTAAAATATGTTTACTCTTACATTTACCTATATTGTGAGTTCAACAGGAGGAACTGTGCAGCACAGTATTTGGTATTCCAAACCATGTTCATGACTTCAGTTCAATGATTTATGTACATAATATGAGTAGGATTTAGTCACAAAATCCATTTGCTAACAGGGAAAGTAAGTGGTCTTGTTACATAACCATATGAAAGCATTATTCATCTGTTAATTACTGTGTTTATATTTATCAGTACCCTATTATCATTTTATTTCAACACTTTTGTAAAATTTATTTAGTTTTGTTAGTTATTGTAAGTTAGTAATATATTCAATTACAGCTTACCTCTTAAATTATTATATTTAAACATCAATGGCTTTCAACCTTAATGGATGAGACAGATATCCATCAATTGAATTTGATCATGGAGGTACTTGGGACACCCGCTCAGGAGTTCATGTCAAAAATATCTTCAGAGTCTGTAAGTATTGTAGCTTTCACCCATTGTTTATCACAGGGATGTGGTGTAATGTTAGTTGTAAATATTACTATTACTTTCAGTATTGTCGAATGTAGCTTCGCCATTAACTCGCTTATATTGATGTCATTGTGTCATGTTGATAAATGGCTTGTGTAAGTTTGGTGCTTGTGTAACCTTAACATGCGTGTACTCAGATATTGATCACCTCACAAGAATATTGTTTCTGTGTGGAAGACCTGATCAAGAGACAATTGACAAAATAATTAGCGAAGAGGTAAGGAAACTAATAATTTAATATATTAAAATTAAAGGAATTGAAAGCAATAATGCTGGTTAGAATTAACTCTAACCAAACTAAAAAAATATAGAAATAAAACCAATAATAATTGCCATATTAATGCCAGTTCTGAGCATAGAAATTAACAAAATAATGACTAGTCTTTAGAATGAGTCCGTCGTTAATTCGTAAAAGAAATATGGTGGTCGTTGTATTTATTGTTCGTGGCGTACCGATTGTATATGTTCGTTAACTTGTGTCTGTGGCAATTACTTAAGTACATGTTATTTGTGTGGAATGAGTCATCATTGAAAATAATGTATTTTACACAATAGTTTTTAATTAGTTCTCGTTATGTTCGCTAACGAACATTAACATATTTGTTTGAACAATGATGCATCACGGACGTAAAATTTACCAGTCGTATCCATAAAATATGTAAATATTAAGATCGCATTTTTGTCCCCATCACAAATGCAATTTTAATTCTAGAAAAGTTCCTAATAATTATATCAATCTTGCTTGAATAAGGTCTTATAACGCCACTATTTAGCGCATTAAAACAGGTTGTCTAATTTGATTTTAACATATGGAGCTCTGCCAAAAGCATTAGCAGAAAAATAGGAAAAAGTATCATCCTGGTTTACCAGCAACGTTTTAAGTCACCTACTACAACGTCCTAACGGTAATTAACTAAATGTCAACAATCTTGACATGAATTGTCTTTTTATCTAAAAGTTGTTTTTTAAAATGTTGACAACCAGGTTTTTACCTGAACTGATTAAGGCGCCCGCCTCTCATGCATAAGGTGTGGGTTTGAAATCTGGCAAGTACCAATGTGGCGTTTTACAAGTTATGTGCACTTTCTATGATTATTTAGACACCACTGACATGCGGTGAAGAAAGCTGGACTTTTACTTCTAATTATAAGTTTGAAATCGCCAATTCGCCTTGAGCAAGCGTGGTGATTAATGATCAAACCTTCTCCTTATGCGAAGAGGCCTTGCTTAGCAGTGTTTACTCACAGGCTGATGATGAAATAAAATAGATAATTTGTAAGTATTTTTACACGACTGCCCATACGACCTTGTTTAATATAAAAATACTTAGTCGGGTCATAAGTTCTGTCACAAACTTTTGATGTAATAACTTATACGCCTTTTGACAATTATTTAAAAATTATATATGAAATGAAAGGTCATTAAATGTACAATATAATTTTATTTACATTATTCGAAATGCCCTCCCCCATTTTGAACACATGCCCTTAATCTACGCGGCCAGTCATCGATCGCTGCACGCACCACATTCATATCTATGTCTGCCGCTGCTTTAACCAGAGATGCTCGGAGAGACTCCAAATTCGGGTGAGGTTTAGCACAGACTTTTTCCTCCAAATATTGCCATATCTTGTAGTCCAGTGGGTTTAAATCTGGACTAGAAGAGGGCCAGTCTTCATGCCGGATGAAGTCAATTCCACGAGCGATCAACCAGTCTTCCGTACTTCGTGCCTTATGAGCCGGTGCAGAGTCCTGTTGGAATATCCAATGCCTGTTCCTGAACATTGTCTGAGAAAGAGGTTCCACTATGTTTGTTAGGACAGTATTTTGATAAACTTCGGCACTAGTTCTCACACCTTTTTCACAGAAAAACACCTCAGTTACGCCTGAATATGAGACTCCAAGCCAAACCATGAATGAGGAAGGGTAATGCCCACGCTGGACCCTCGCAATACGCGCGCTTGCTTCTTCACTGCTGTGGGCATACACCTTATCATTTTGTTTGTTAAAACTTTCTTCAATAGTAAAAATTTTTTCATCCGAAAAAAGAATTTCGCGGTATTTTTTTCCCGCGTACCGTCGTAGCAAAGCGCGGGATCTGTCTAGCCTAATTTTTTTTAAACGCTCGTTCAAAAAATGTCCTGTCTTTTTACGATAAGCTCGTAGTCCCAGGTCTTCATTTAGTACTCTTTTAACAGTGGTTCTGCTTAGCCCCATCTGCAGAGCTAGGATTTTTTGTTTACGTACGGGATTTCGTTCGATTCGCGCCTTCACTGCTTTGATGACCTTATGTGTCCGAACTGTGCGAGGTCGGCCGCTTCTCTTACGATCTTCGAAGCTTGACTCTTCGGTGTATCGTTTGATAGTACGATAAACAAACCGTAACGTTATTTTCAAATTTTGAAGAATATTGAAAATGTCTTTTGGCGCGTAACCACAGCGGTGCAACGCGATAACCGCGATTCTGTCTTCTTTATTCGACCACTCCATATTTAAAAATGAATAAAAAATAATTTCTTTTTTATTTTCTACAAGCGCGAAAGTTCTATTTTTAAAATAAGTCGAAGAATTTCTGGCCAGTAATCGAAAATTAAAAATATAAGGTTTTGACAGAACTTATGACCCGACTAAGTACATATAGGTATACTAAGATTGTTTACTTTAAGTTAATTAGCCCAAAGCGGGTCGTTTTCTTTACACTTTTGAATGTTCTGTAAAGTGTAGTAGGTACGTACATTTATCTCATTATTTTTAATGTTAGACATAAAATGTTCACTTATTAAATTATGATGATTTTAACATTGATAATAAAATTTATCTGCCGCACATATAACGACAGGCGCGAATCCGCCGTTTTAAGGCACAGTGGGTTTGCCCACGATCCTAATTTACAAATTAAAAGTGATAACCAACTTCCAAGGTCTATTAACATTGACAGACGGAAGATAACATGACTGGGTAGGTCCACAACCTCTTTAGAGAGCTACTTTTGAGGGAGGAAAATCATCAATTCTAATGATTCGTGAGGGAAATGGAATAAACCTACTCCTCCAACAAATGGAAGGAAAAGGAGTCTCTAGAAAGAGTCTTCTTTAGCTTTTGACGACTCTAGTGGGCTCCGTCTGTTGTGGTGTGAAGGCTCTTTGAGGCACGCTTGGATCGCGATGAACCTTACTCTCAGGTCGTCGGTCTACAGATTCAACCAATCTTTTTGGAGGGAGATGGATCCGAGATCCGATTATGATTATTCAGACGCCACTGACATATGGTGAAGGTAAACATCGTTAGGAAACCTGGTCTTATAATTTCTAATTATAAGTTTCAAATTGCCAACCCGCATTGAGCAAGCGTGGCGATCAATGCTCAAACCTCCGTGTGGGAAGAGGCCTTTGCTCAGCAGTGGGCTGATGATGATGAGGATGATGATGATTTAGGCGTATTCTTCAGACGTTTTTAAAGGCTCAAATTATGCGTGTTCCAGGCTAGGAATTACATTCAGTCGTTGCCTGCACTGAAGAGACGTGACTTCCGCGAAGTGTTCCGTGGTGCGAACCCTCTGGCCGTCAACTTGCTGGAACTTATGTTGGAGTTAGACGCTGACAAGTAAGATATTACCTATGTTGTGTACACCCAAGTGTGGGAGAGCCATGCTTCGGCACGAATGGGTCAGCTCGACCGGAGTGATACCACGGCCTCACAGAAAACCGGCGTGAAACAACCGCAGCGCTGCGTTTCGCCGAGTGAGTGAGGTTACCGGAGGCTTAATCCTTCCACTCCCCTAATCCCTAAATCTCCAAATCCCTATAAGGTCGGCAACGCACTCGTAACTACTCCATTGCGGGTGTCCATGGGCGGCGCTGATTGCTTACCATCAGGTAATCCGTCTGCTTGTTTGCCGATTAATTACATAAAAAAAAATTGTTATTCTACACTCGGTTATCACGCCAACAAGTAGTGAATGGTTAATTAAATAATTTATATGTTGTATGATTCATAACATCGAAAAAAGAATGACGAGACCACGAATTTATTCGTTGGTTTTCCTTGAAAACAAAACTGTTTCTGGGGATTTTATGAATTCATTGATTAAAAGCCTCTCAGAATCACGAAGAACCTGCTTTGCACCGTTTACCATAACTTAAACACGATTTAAATAAGTGTAGTTTAACTTACCTTTTAAATGAGTATGCCTATTTCAATGTTTGCTAAGTCACATTTAACTAATTTAATATGTATGAGACAGAGGAGAAATTTCAAATCGGGAATCGTCCTTAAGGCCTTTTCTTAGGCCGGGCACACGGGTCAAGCGCAATAAGCTGGAGCAGGAGAAGAAAGGTGGGGGGGGGGGGCGGCTTAGTCAGTACGTCTCCGCCAGCGTCGCCATAACTGCTAATTAAACGTCGAAATTAATTTTTGAACTTAAATTTATCGCACAATCACTTCAGTTTTTTATGTTGTACTGAGCAATGAGATCATTATAAATCAATGTACTTCATATTTTTTACCCATATGACGAAACATATAACGACCGCTAATCTGTCTCATTACAGTCTGAGTTTCTAGAAAGAAACAATCTTAAGTTGCTCATATGCAGTGTCTGACCAACCACCAACACAACAACAACTTAAAAAAAATACGTATTTCAGACGCATAACAGCGGAACAAGCGCTTGCGCACGAGTACTTGGCACAGTATGCTGACCCGGACGACGAGCCCGTGTCGGCGCCCTACGATCAGAGCTTTGAGGATATGGAGCTCCCCGTGGACAAGTGGAAAGGTAATAAAGTCTGAAAGATACTTTTTAAAGAATTTCTTGCTTTAGTTCTTTTTAAATACTCGGTTGGCACAATGAGACAATGTTTATATATCTATAACTAGATAATATTAAAATGCGATCATGAGGATCATTAGGATCCTGGGCGCATTATGATGAGAAAAGTTACTTTCCCTAAGAAACGAGTTAGCACCAAATAAACTCTCGATGTATGAAACAAGGACTCTTTGTGTTCTTTTCGCCAAGTGGGCAGCATAATAAAAAAAGGGAAGTTTGAATGTCTTATACATTCAACATATAATTTACTTTGATGCATAAGCATAGATATTTTGCACAACTTTTACAGGCAAATTTGGTATGTGTTTGTATGTATGTATATATTATTAGTCATTCATTCATGGCTATTAAATAACGATTTTTGGAAGTTGATAGGTGGAGTGCATAAATGGTTGGCCAACACGGGTACCTTGATTTACTATAGCAATAATTATTGTTGATAGCCTTATCACAAATGCTAATGTAATAAAGAGGAATGTTCTGTTTCCCAGCGGGGGCGTGGCTTATCTAATGGATTTGCTACGATAATGTTTTAAGACTCATGATAAAATAACTCTTGATTGTAGCTATTCGGTGAATTTAACGGTTCAGTTTTTTACCCTGAAATGAATAACGTACTCGAAAAAAAAACTAGGCTTTTGAAGCTCAACCAAACCGTCCCGATCCTTATATGCGAGGGCCTCACTTCCGTAATTATAATTATTGCTCATGCCGATTGTTTCGCGTCAGAAAGACGAAAATATACAAAAACATATGCGGCTTTGTTTTTTCTTCTGATAATTGCAGTGATAAAGTTTATTAAAATAATAACATATCAGGTTCATGAAATACAAAGTTGTTTTTATAATTTACACAATCATCCAGTTGTTTGCTTAAAAAATATAATTATATTAAGTGAAGGAGATTTTTATCGACCTTAATTTAAATTACGAATTCTTTCCTTTAGCTCAACAATACCTAAATTACAACAAGAGCATATAAACTGAAAACTAAAAACTTCGTTTTATGTATTCAAAAAAACCTGAACATTTATTTGCAGAGTTGGTGTGGAAAGAAGTGGTGGAATTCAAACCTCACCCCCAACACATGAACACAGTGGTGGAGGTGACTCCTTCGTAAAGTCAAACCCCCTGTATAGCTTCTACAGATCTACTTGAACCTTGCTGCAACACGGGCTACATCTTATGAGCTAGTAAAACCAGGGTAAATAATTACAAATGATGTACTTTTAAATATATTTTTTGAACGCTAAAGTAGACAGACCAAAGTTTGCCCTCCAATTATACTGTTATAATCTTCTAGAATGAAATGCAGCATAGCAGTTGCTAGACTAGATAACAACATGGCACTTTTTATCCCCAAAGAAGAAAGCAAAGATGCAAACTACACATTCGCTTTTCGCCAGTTATAAGTATTTATGAATTTCCTTTGGAATAAAATTAAATGTTACACTAGAGTTATTGTCACGGATTCACACTGTATCGCGTGTGAGAAAATCTCATTTTAAGCATACTCATCAGTCTTTGCAGAATAATTTAAGTCTATCAATTTAGATAGCAACTGTATAACATACGCAGTATCTCTAGAAATTACTTTATCTAGTACCTATAATAAGTTCGCCAACACTCTTTGTTATCTCGTCTCGTCTGTCTACTTCGTTTTATGATACCTTCATTTACCCCTATATGTAAGTTCAATAACAAAAGCATAAAAATTATACAATTAATTGTATATTTAAGTAACAACGATTATTGGCAGGTACTTTTTAATACATTTATGTATTTGTTTTTATCTTTAGATGATAAGTAATATATGCACAAGATTTGAAAATATTATAAAGTATTACTGGTTTGGCCATTACTTTTTGGCATTTAATGCCCCTGTTATATGAAATACTTTTAATGAAAAATATTTTGATGTTGGGATGTTGGTATATAGTCACAAGTTTCCAAGAGGTGTGTTCCAGTTAAGGGATCAATGTATATATGTATTAATTGCATGATTGCTATAATACGAGGTAATTGGCAACAAAGTTTTCTATTTTGGAGAAGGTTAATTTAAAAGGGAAATTCTTTGTCTTTTAAAATTTGTCGTAAGCCATCTTCGACATAATACAATAATCCAAAATAAACAAAAAAATACAATAATCCAACTCTGTTGATAAAGTAACATGCTTATTTTATTGTGTCCTAGTCTATAATAGAGAGTGATTCTGAAAACAAGCTTTTATAGAACGAACACCCAACATTCTTAAAGTATGCCATAATAATAGTTTGTAAACAATTGTTAGTCACCTGTTCAAAACATCAATAATAAAGCCTAGGAAATTGTAGTGATATTGAGAGCAATATATTTTATGATAAAATGTAAGAACTTTTTATAGATGTGCATACTATTTGTAAGCAAATGCTTTTGTAATTGTTGCCTTGCAATCTGCGTCATCCGCAGTCAGTACAGTGTTTGTTACCCATTACTAATTGGCTTTAGGAGCTGGTGCTAACTAATTTGCTGCTAATAATTACTTAGAAGTAAGGTCTCAATAGAAATTCAAGAATTTTATAGATGAAAATCAAATTCTCTTATTAATATAATCTTATGTACCATTTACTGTCTTCTATTGTCCGTGTTTGATGACTTGACTAGCCGTCCATCAAGGTTTTTTTTTTTGCTCAGTTTTACACTACACTTGTAGAAATGTTTATAAAAGTAGCATTGTGAGGAATGGAGAAGGGTTAAGAAACGATGTTTTTAGGATATTAAATAATACCATATTATTTGCCATTTTTCTGTTGCCACTAATATGTGAAAAATATATATGGCCTACATTGTAAGTGAAAAGGATGAGAACTTCATCAGGAGAATTATGTTGTGCTAGGTACAACGTTCATATATTTGGTCACGATTTAAGCTTTCATGTATGTATAAGCTTTCTCAGACCATAGTTTTAATATGTGTAATTTTCTTTCAAGTGTATTAGGTGCAGCAAAATGTAGTAATATAAATATTTTAAGATATAATCTTATATTTTAATACAGACTATGTCAACAATTTGTAAGTATTACACAACATAAGGTATATGTATTTTGTTGAATTGTAAGAGTAAAAATGGAATAATTGAAGATGTCTTGTTTTTTATTTATATATCTTCTCTCTTCTTTTATCTCGATAAAATATTTAACATACACCACATTAGAACACTTGATGACTTTTTGATTGACAGGAAAACACTAATACCAACTAGGTATTGTTTGTTTCTGATGAAAAACCGGATGGTTCCACCAACTTATCATCTGACCCTGATAAACATTGCCATTGTAAAGATAAGTGATTTTTAGGTAGGGATGTTTCCATCACAGTTAAGCGTAGCATCGGATCACTGCGCGAGATGTGTACTGTCTAGCTAGACTAGTGTTGAGATACAACACGCTGCGTGAAGTTAAGCTTCTATTGCAACATAATCCTTAGTTTTTCGCCTCTAACTGGCGGATGGAATATGCTATTATTGACTATTTAACAGTGCCTCTTGTATGTGGTCTAGGTGAAATAAATGCTTTATCTTTACCATTCACTAGCGGCCTGCCCCTGCTTCGCACGGGCGTCTACCTACCTTGCTAAAGACGATATTGCCGCTCTATTTTTCGAAGAAAAAAAATCCTCCATAAGTACCTTCTCCTGGCAATAACAAACAGGATAGAAAAAAAGAATTACCAGTATTGGTCCAGGCGTTGTTGAGTTATGCGCTTACAACACATTTGGTGATTAATTTTATATATAGATTTGATGGGCTTTGCGGATTACTTAGATCTTGACTGTACTGTCTAACAAATAGAGTCTAAAAACTTCACAAAAGTATAGGAGCAAGATAAAACAGTATAAAAATCAATAAAAATATTTATACATCACTTTATTTTCTGGCTTTATCAGTAACACAGTGCCTCTGTTAGTCTTATGACCATTTGTAACAATAATATTTCTCAACATTGTCATTGTAAAGGCTTGGCTAAGTAGCTAATCCGAATATCGGAACTTCATTTTTTTATGAATTTCAAGGCAAAGCTACAATTAATGCACTTTCATCCGCTTTACATTCTATTTTAAATAATACCGCGATTGTCTCTCACAAGACCGAACTCCAGATTTCATTAAGATTGAAGTAAATTTTGTATTAAAATCATTTTTACTATTTACACAACATTAAACATTCACAACTTTTAAATTGTTCAAATGTATTTATCAAAGATTATTAAATTAAATGAATTCATCCATAATCTACATAAATACCCGTATATTAAATTAAAATAATGAAGTAAGTAGGGAAATTATGTTTACATTATATTTACCATTTTTTGGCAGAATTGGTACTAAAATATTGGAGTAAAAATAAAGTACAAATAAATGATATACAAATAATGCAACGGAACAATCGTCATGTTGTAGTGCTTGTAGCAGCTTAAGTGTAAATATTACATGCAGCTTCCAAGTGTTTCACTTCAAGAATTTGCATCAATCTAAATGTGACACTGATGAAGTAGCATCAAAGTTATTATAATTTTCGGATAACCATTACATACATGCTAAACATTTTCGTTTCAATTTCAGGACACACGTTATTGTACAAACAGTACCTCGCAGGCTTTGGTTTATTATTTTCCAGTACTTTTAGGAAAGAAAATGAGACTGAATCGCAATCAGTACTTAGTTTAGATGTAACACAAATTTTAATGCTTTCGTTTTAATAAATTATCACAATTATGACGTTTATTCGGCACTTCATTACGAAGACGAATGCGGCCCTAGTTTCTGTAACGTAAGATTTAATGGCAAATTGTCTTCGGAATCCGACGAGGAGTCCGGTGGTCGACGACTCGTCGACGGTAGCTCGCTGTGACCGTTAAAAGAGCTCACGTCGGGAACTCGTGACCCGCTGCTAGTAGAAGCCGTTGATTCGGCCTCAGACCTGCTTTTTGTTGCTGTGGGCCCATTAGTATGATTTGCACTTGACTTTGATCCATCAGTATTTTTATTATGACTATTATACATAACATTAACAACACTTCTCAGTCTTCTGTTTTCGCGGCTGTCGCGTCGCTGGCGTTTCCGTTCTTTGCTTGATTTACGTTTCTCCTTTATAGACGTGCCACTCGTGCCGCTAGTGCTAGGTTCGTCTATGGCGGGGGGTAAAGTTTGTTCCGAGGTTACGGAGCTGCTCGCTTTTTTAGACGACTTCACTCCTTTCCCCGAGTACGACTTCTTACTTCTCTTCTCCTTGTCTGAAGACTGGCCATTCTTTTTATCTTTGTGATGAGAACGCGATGACTTTTTTTTGCTTTTCCTTCGATCTCTACTAGAAGTTGCCTCCCTACTAGATTTTTTCTTCGATTTATTTTTAACTAGAAACTTGGAGTCGTCGCTGTCGTCATCTTCATAGAACGAGGAGGAGTCCGTAGTCGACGTGCTAGACTTTGTGGATATAGTGGATGAGGCGGATGTAGAGGAATAAAAATTCCAGGAAGTTTCGCCGGTTTCGGAATTATCAGCGACTCGAGGATTGGGTGATGAACAGTTAGAGGCGTTGGGAGGTGTAGAACGGTTTGTATCGCTAGTGGAAGCGGAGGCTGGACGCGGGCGGCGGCGCTGCCGCGGTGGCGGCCGGTACGAGCTGTCCGAGCTGTCTGACTGCTGACCCTCAGACTCACGCCTCGCGCGGTGTCGCTTTAGCGTCACTTTCACAGATGGCATGCGCGGCTCTACCGCGGGTTCTGGCTCCGGTTGTGGATTGTCCTGGACGATAACGTCGCTGTCGGATCCTAGTAAATCTACAATTTCTGGAGTCCTTTCCTGAGGCGGTTTAATATAGCCTACGACCATTACTTCGGAAGAGTCGTCGTCAGAGTCCGATTGAGATCCTATGGTTTCAATAGGAATCACATTGTTGGTTGTCGAAGGCATCGGTATATATCCGACTGGGTAAACAGGCGCCGGAAACCTCGAGGGTCCTGCAGGGGGCTCTGCTGGTTCTGAACTTGAAACCATCACAATATCGGAATCTGCACTGCCCTCAGAGTCTGTACTCGATATCACCTCGTTTATCATCGTAGATATTCTGCTGTCTGTGGTATATTGGACATTGCGATCATAGCCAGTGATGTCGTAAGGCGTAGAAGCAAAACAATACAGTTCATGTAAGAAGTGTTCAGTTCTGTCACCGAAATATCGCTGCATCACTTCCCTGAATTCAGGCGAGTTGATGTGGTGTTGTGGTAACAATTCCAGGATCCGAGTCATAACGTATGAAATGTGGCCTTCATTTTCGTTCAACAAATAATGCAGTTCTCTGTTAAGCCAAGGAACCAACCGATGCATTTGTGTGTCATTATACCTTGAAAAACCAAAATAGTAGATTTGAATAAAAAGCACAACCAAGGGACATGTTTCGATTAAACCTTACATATTTTATCAGCAAAATAAATTCGACTATGAAGATAATTTTACCTATAGAATTCTGGTGTGCAATCACGGAATCTACCAGTGAAGTCGGGGAGAGGACGGGCCCAGAGGTTGTGTCTGTAGACGGTGCGTCGGAAGGAGGCGGGGGAGCGGCGGCGACGAGCGGGTTGCACGCGCGACGCTGGTGGCGGGAACACGTCCGCCATGAACGGGTAGTGACGTAACAGCTGCTGGATTGCTATCGTCTCCCTTCGCGGCAGCGTCAGCGTAGTCCTGTGTTCACAGCTTTTTGTTGTATGATACAGGTTTAATAACTTACGCCTTAAATGGTTGAAAAGCTTGTGTAATAAATATAACTAAAAATGACAAACTCATTTGTGTCAAGAAATTGCCTGTAGATTGATTTGTATGTTCACTTATGAGCAGTCATAAGTATATAAACAAACACAACAGTGACATAATTTTTGTTTAGAATTTATTAGTATTAATAATAGTTGCAAGTATTTTTTTTTAATTTTACAGCTTGTAAGTATTTCAACTAATTTATTCAGCACAGTCATATTTACAAACTTTTTTATTTTTAGCTTTATAAATGCATTGGAATAGTCTATTTATTATTAAAATTAAACCAGTTTGCAACCACACCATGTATTTTGATATAGGGTGCAGTGTGCAAACAAGAAAGAAGTGATAAGTGTTTACTGTTGAGCTTTAAGTTGACTTTCAAGAAATAATTTTACTAAATATTTTACATACTAGCTCTATAAGATAAGGAAACCCAGTTATTAAAAAATGAACTACCACAGTCATGGATAAATATGATGACTCAGCTAGTTTTTGGCTAGAAGGTTCTAGAGCTAACTATCTAGACATTGCATAATAATGTTGTGCAATCATACAGAATTTTGCTTGTCATCTTTAATTATTTAACTTTAATCAAATTACTGGAAAGGAATGTGTTCTGTAGGGTGTGATGGTTATGTATGATTTGATTAGCAATAACATACAAGTACCAGACCCACCACAGTACCTGTATCTGAACCTGTGAGTGGCTGCGGTGACTCTGTCAATGTCAATCCTGCTACTTGACTCCTCAGTTTGCCTCTGCACCACCAAGTATTCTTCATATTGATGGTTTGAGCGCACATTGTGTATAATAGATCTGAATGCTTGTTTACAAAGTGGGCACTCCGCTTTCACCTGGAATATAAAAATTCACAGATAATTCAAAACTAGTATAATATAATGAAGAGAGACATTGAGCACTTGAATACACACAATAAATTCTTATTGATTATGATACAATGCACATCAAACATACCAACTAAATACCTATTAATAGTGTCATTATCATAAACTCATTACAAAATGCATACTGCAGTATTTTAGATAGCAACTTTTAGGAAATCTTTATCATATTGTTGATGATAAATTTTATTTGTTGAAAACTCACCTTACTCCATGTAAGAAGGCATGTGAAACAAAATTGATGTAAACATGAGTCTGTGAATGATTTATTCTTGCATGTACCAAGACATATGGCACAGTTTGGTGGTGGTGAGCCTGAGCGGCTGTCAGGCCTGGGACTGCTATCATCACTCTTAACACTGTTAGGGTTTGCTCCTGAATTGTCACCTGAAGTAGCAGGTAACGTCTCCATGGCTGTAACCTGTAAATGATGATCATAATAGTATACATTATCATGAATAAGGGGATCATCTAATATTTATGTGGTATTTACATGAGGAAAGCATCAAAACATTCAAGTAATTATCATAAAAATAACCTGTAAAGTCAAACAACAAACTTTTTCAACATAATGCTTATGACACTGCAATGAATGGAATGTTTTGTTATTTTTTTATATAGATGCCTCATGTGTCATGTTATTGATTTGCTTTGAAAGTTATTAATGTCCATATAATATATATGTAGATGCTCCACATTTAAATTTTTTATCTACACAACCATGTATATTATATGTATGTATCAATTAGGTAAGTACTTGTTATTTATTCACTATGAAATGAATTATGTGAATGTCAAATTACGATTTAAGAACATGTTTAGACATGCAAATACGTTTTGGTATGCATCATCCATAATTTGATTACAAGTAAATGATACTTTGTGTAACTGTGTTATTTTTTACTGTCCACAACAGTTTATAAAATGGAAGTTCATCAGATGATAAAACTCACGCTCACGTACCTACTGACAGTGTGATCTTGACAGATTTCTGGTGAATTGTGACGTGCCGAGCTCGATACACCAGAGTTAGACCACTGAGATTCGAATTATCTAAATAGCATAAATATCTTTAATCTATTTGTCTTATAACGTAGGAACAAGTCCATTTAATTGTGATTTCAATAGTCATAATTGAATTCGACTTAATCTATTTCCTGAACCAGTAATAAAAACACAAATGAACGAGCTCCAATAGCGCATTATTAAACACGTTTGCACACACAAAATCTGGAATGGAAATATTGATATTACAAACTAAGTAATTCTACGTGTATTAAAACATACACTATAGTTCTTTAGTAAGATCTAAGGCCATTTAATATACGAAAAACCGAAGAAAGAAACGGAGACTGAGACAAACAGCTTGACAATTTTCATTAAAATACAGCTGGTTTTTCTTTATGGCAATAATAGAGTAAGTGGAGTAAGTTGAATAGGATGGGTACCTACAGATTACCTATTCTAAATATCTATCACATAATTATATTATTCGACTTAAAAACGTCTTCAATACCTTTTAGTAGAATGTATAACCTGGTTCATTTTACTTTTATTTTAAGTGTAATAAGTGTTGTTGTGTCGGGTGCGCCTTATATAATTCTAAGAATTTGACTATTTACGCTGCCGTTCAGTCAGTATCTTAGGTCAGTAAAGGGGTTTGGACGAAAATTTATAAATAATTATAAGAACATGTTGTAATAATTTTGTTTGTATTGTGTGATCTTAGCTTATGAAAAGTAATCCCTCGATGGGTGTGATGGTGGCGTAAGTTGTCAATTTATCATTGGCATGTCAATGTCATAAATTTGTCAAAATCTTAATGTCAAATAGAAATTTCACTGGAGATTTGCAGGTGTTTTCTATTTGTGTTATCTAATCACTAGCAATGGGACCCCTAAAAAAGGTAAAATATTATGTAGTAAAACCTCCCTGAAATAGTAACTTTGTTATAAAATCGCCCAAGAGAGGAGAGAGCTGCTAGCAATTCAAGTGTAAATCGAGACAAAATCTTAGATGACCATCTGACCCAAACCTAAACCAAGAAAAGTATTAAAATTATTTGATACTTGCAACAAGTTTCCGATTTTCTCTTCACCAATTCTTTTGATTCACCAAGATCAACAATTAAACACTAATGGTGCGAAGTGTATGGTTATGTCAAATTTAACTACTACCTACTTTATAATTTTAGAGTACAGGCCTTGTTGGCATGGCAGTGGCCCCTAACGCCCATCATACACTTGGTTCGCTATATGGCAAAATCTTGAGAGTTCTGCAAAAAATGCCCGAGTCTGCTGGATACAGGAAACATACTGAACCACTTATTCGTGAGAGAGCTGCTGTGTTGACACAGGTAAATAACAGTTTAATTACTTTTACCAAAACAGTTTGTAGCATTATATACCTATTATTCAAAACAATAATATTATGATTTTCAGACAAAAGATGTGTATGAGCTGGAGTCGAAAATAAACTGTGGGCAAGCCGAGGAACTGATTATCCAGGCTGAAAATGAATTGAACTTGGCTAGAAAAATGTTGAACTGGAAACCTTGGGAGCCACTTGTATCTGCCCCTCCCAAAGGCCAGTGGGACTGGCCTCCTACCAAATCCTAAATATATTTCATGTTAGTAACTTTTTTAAGTAGTAAAATTATATTAATGTGAATAAATGTTTTCTGTTAATGCTTCATAATGTAGATGATAATAGTACACTACAGTGGAGTCAACTGTTTGTAAGAAATTACAAAACAGTTTGGGGTTAATAAAAAGTGTATGATATAATTTGTTTTTCATTTTATTAACTTATAACATGTTTCAGTTCAAAAACATGTAAAATAAAATAAATATAAATGGAGCAGTGTTATTTGGCACAGTGCATAAAACCATGTAGTTATTTAAAAAAAGTTTATAATAGTAATATTTTATACTAAGAAGGGGTCATATATTAATAGGCTCTATAAATTACAAATCTTAACCATCTCAAAAAAACCTTGCTTATTAAACAGTTTCAATGTAAACATATATTTTAATCCCCAAAAGTGTAACACACACTTCCCACCTATTACCAAAAACACAACATTAGGTACCATACATTATTCCAGAGCTATTACTGAGATATTTTTAAAAAACTAAAGAGAAATCCAATGTATATAATATTTTTGAAATACCTTGTATTTACAATATGATAAAAAGTAGAGTAAAGGTTGGTCTTCTATAATCATGATTAAGTATAATGAGCCATAACAATGTTAAAAGAAACTTATAATAACTGCCTTACTCACAGACACTTACCATATCCCAATTCCTAAAGTAAATTTATTCATATTTTATATTTAAATTTCATGAATCCAATTCAATATTTTGTATGTGAGAGTAAAGCAGATAGTATCTATACATACTTATAAACAATTTATAAATTTTTATAAATTCAAATGTAACCACTAATAAATACTTAACTATGTCATTATTCCATGACAAATTCATGCTTAATTTTATGTAAAAATTATAACTATTGCTGGTGTAAATGCAATTGTTTCATATAAAAATATGTCATTGGTAACTCATTTAATAAAAATACTTTCAAATGCCTCTTAGTAATTCGCTGTACTATGTAGGACAGTTTTAAATTTTTTTCACAATTAAACAGTAATGCATAATACTTTACTAACTAAACTTAAAGTAAAAAAAATAAATAATATTATTATAATCACTTGTCATTTTATAATACTAATTCAGTGCTCCGTACTCCACACTCTTAACTTAAAACTCAAACAATTTACCAATTTACTTATAAACCTTATAATTACTTGAGGCTGTTTTACTTTTTATTTAAATTCTAATAAAATATTTATATAAACTTAAAAGTTTTTCCTTTTTTTCCATTATTTGATTAAATTGCTGCAAGTCTGCTAAATTTTATATAAATGTTGTACGAAATGTGTGGAAATATGTATCAGGTGACTGTGACATATTTCTTGTAAATTAAAACTTAAAATTAATTTATTGATAGTACAAAATCTAAAAAAATTTTAAGTGAGACATTCAAGTCTGAGTGTGTACAGATTAATTTTAACCTGGACTTTTATGTCACATTATAATTATTATACATAAGACAACTTTTTTATCACAAACTTGATTGAGTAGCCCTTGAGTATTTCGATATTATTATTTAATTTAAATACATATAACATAAGTATATTGGTAAAACTATAAAACTAAAACATCAAATGTATGAAAAAGGATATAAAAATTGGTGTAAAAATGTATAAGTAACTACAGTTACTCATACATTTTATATTTTAATTTTAATGCATACAATATATTATTGCTATTTATGAAGTTGTATGGGAATTATAAATGCTTATGATTTTTAAGAACATTGTAATTGATTTGAATGCTTATATAAAAGCTTTTAAAATGCTTAGAAATACATTGAACATGCTATGGTGGTTCTAAAATTTAGCACTTGATTTGAAAAAGGTGACATACAAGGGGTACATACAATTCAAGAGAATCAAAATAGAACTTAAAAGTAATTTTAATTATGTGCAAGCCTTTAACACATTCAGTGCCCCCGACGCACCTGTGCGTTCAATACATTAATGTATAGAACGCACAGGTGCGTCGAGGGCATGAATGTGTTAAGTAGCCAACAACACTGACTGAGAATGATAAACTAATCATTCTTTCTTTTGAAAGATTAATATAAAAGTTGTGAAATAGAAGTGATTTTCAAATAATATTTATGATTTTAATATAGCTTGTTCTTATACTTTACTATTAAGTACAGATAATTATCAACATTTGATTTGCATACCTAGTATATACATAAATCATAATTAATGTACTAAGAACAGATATTTATTTAAGTATTCTAGTAGCAGTATTTTAGTAATAACCAATTGAATTGTCAATTATATATTGTAAGTCATGAGTATTTCTCATTATGTTTCTGATAGCCATTACTCATTTTATTGTATTGTATAAGATTGTGCTATCTTTTAAAATATGTTATAAAATCTTAAAAGATAGCACAAAGTTGGTAATCTATTCTATAAATATATTATATAGATAAACCTCCAAGTAGTTAAACTAAATAATGTTTATAAGTAATATGGTCTATAACAAATTGTTTTATGTAGATGTTACACCTTTTCTTGCAACTAATAGGTTTAAGATAGGATGTTTCTTTATATAGCTTACTGCTTTTTTATGTGTCACCATCGTGAAGTCATATCCGTTGCACTGCAGTATTTTGTCATGCATTCTCAATCCCGATTTTGCAGCAGGGCTTCCTTCATGCACTTCAGTCACATATATACCCTAAAACAGATGTAGTTTAAATAATATCCGCAAAAATTAAGAAAAAATGTTTTCTTTATGAGAAAAACTTACATTATCTGTATATCCCTGTGGACTTTTGCGAAAGTCTTGGTCAATTCCACCGCCAATTTTAAAACCACATTTCATAACTTCTCTTCCTTCTGAGTCAACACCGGCTTCTTTCTGGAGTGTTATAGGTATCTGTAAGAGATTATTAATACATTGTTGATATGAAAAGAGACAATAAAACAAACAAAACTGGGAGTGGTCTTCCAAACTTACACTAAGACACTCCATAGCTGTTCCAGCCTGGTGTTGAAATGCCATTTTCGCCATGATGATTGCTTGGTAATTATTTTCTTTGGGATGTAAAAATTTCAACAATCCAAAAGGGAAAACACCAATAATAATAAATTGTATTCCAACTTTATGACAACAGGCAAACACGATTACCACAATAGTGATGTGTAACGTAACATATATCTGTCTTTTTTGACTTTGAGTGTTGGAGGGGAGATTAAACAGGTCACCTGTTTAATCTCCTAAAAATTATCTTTAAAACGATTTAAATAACATAAATCTGGAGTTTGTATTAATATAAAATGTTAAGTGTATCAAATTCTTCGTTTTCTACCCTTTTTATGTTACAAGAACATCACTAGACAACTTCATTGACTACCAGGGGTGCATTTTTTTATTGTTGCCCGTGTTCAAAAACTGTCGATTTTATTCAACCTCATTAATTTATCCCTCAATCTAAGAATCCCATGTTCAGTCCCATCTATTATTGTTCCTCAATGTATAAGCAACTCGATACCGGTTTGATTCGTAATGATAGATGATTTAAATTCACTTTCATCGTAGACAGACTACGCAGTTTAATGATGATAAACCATAGACAAATAGAACGATAAAAGTCGTAGACTAGTAGTAGAATAGAGCATGAATAGAGGACCTCTATTCTCTGTCTACGTTAAACTGTCAATGTCAATATGTCAACAAAGTGACAGCTTGAAATCAGCTGTTGACATTGACTAACGAGGTTATGAAAACGATAACAAGTCGTTAAAAAAAGCTACGACGAAATTACTGATACTTGCAAAGGTAACGCTTTTTACAACTATTGAAATTCAGAAAGTATCATGAAATAGATTTTCAATTATGTCTAAGCAATTACCATGTTTTTGGTTGTTTTGAATTGATATGAATTCTCAATTTTTATGATGGTTAAAATGTTCAATTAATTTATTTTCTTTTTCAGATGTCTGGTCAAAGTAGAAATGTCTATTGGATCGTAGTTAGAAATTTTATCAACTCCCTTAAACCTCGTCGATCTAAAGGAAATGATATGGGTTGGTAAAAATTCACACACAATACAAATTGTTATATGAAATAATAACATATTATAAAACTGTTAATTTTAAAGATTAATATGAAAGAAACATGAGCAATGCATTATACCTATCAAAATAAATATAAATATGAATTATGAATACTATAAATTATGAATTTACCATACAAAAAAATTATGATAAATTCAGAATTTATTTATTTATTTATACTTCATGCAATGCAATAGGCAGACTTAATGCATTGAGCATTCTCTACCAGTCGACCTTTGGGTGATGCAGAGAATCCAGTAGTATCAATACTACTTATATACCATAAATTATGAATTTACCAAAGAATCCAAGACAAAGATAATTTACTTCATTTAGCTTCAAACTTTAATAAATCCTAAGTTTGTCACATACTTACTGAATTAATTTATTACCATATTTTTTGTTTTCTTATCATTTTGCTGACTGGGTATTGTCAACACATTATATATACATAATACATAGCTGAAAACAGAACAGAATATTCTGCATCACTCATAGAGCAATAATGCTTGTATTGTAAATAATGTGTTTATATCAGGTAGGTAATTCATGTTTTTTATTATGAAAAACTTTTTTTTAAATTTCAGGTAAAGACTACATAGGTAATTCTTATTTTGAAATCCCTGCGGCACCCAGTGAGGGTAAAAGAAAGCCAACTAGATGGTACAACCCACCAAAAGGCCAAGATTTTCAAGATCCCATACCTGCAGAATGGGAGGCTTGGCTAAGGATGCGAAGGTACTTATTGTAGTTGCATTTTATCACACAGATTGAGGCAATGAGGGCTGATAGTTTTGTGTCATGGGGTGGCACTACAGCAGAGTAAGGAACAGGACCTCAATCTCTGTTTAATGTTGTAGCAGATAAAAATGGGATATTGATTTTTACACTTATGAATTCTTAATTTGGCAAGAGAGCCCAAATTAAGAATTGACATTCATATTTATTTTTTATATATAATTCTAATTCAAGAATTACTTGCATAATAAATTAGATACATAATTTTACATGATACACTTTTTAACATTACAATAATATTCACGTTACAGACAAGACCCACCCACAGAAGAAGAGATTTCCAAAAATCTTGCTATAGCTCAAATGAAGAAAATAAATGCAGCAAAAATTGAAGCTAAAAGGTTGGCTGAAGGAGGATCTTTGCCAACAGTACCAGAAAAGGGACATCAATCATTTCCTGTTTATCCAGATTACCATCCTGGTGAACAGCAAAATAAACCACCCAATAAATGAAGAGTAATGAACCAATTGATATTTATTTAGCTAATGCAATGATATTGAATTATGTAATAAAAGAATTATGATAATTATTTTCATAGTTATTGAGCAGTTTTTTAAGATTATTTTTGTAGAAATATTTTGTCTTAGTCAATAGTTTTATTTGTCACTGTATGCTCAATAACTGTACCTATATAAAAAGCTTGCAGAAACTTAAATTATCTTGTTTTAGTTTAATAGAATACCAGTGTGTGAATTAATTTCTTAACATAAAAAAGATGTGGTTCAGGCGAGTTTTCATGAAAAATAAGCAGTGCATACATTATTGTATCCCATATTTTAGTAATCATTACCAGGTGCTGTCCTTATTGTATGATATTGATAGTTATTGATCCCTGTTACTTAATAATGTAGTTACATTTATTTAAATGAGATTGTAGTTATGAACTGTGATCATAGAGAATAGTAAAATGTGTTGTTTATATTCGTGTGTTATTTCTTTCATGCAACTTGTAAATCGTAGTCGAAATTATTTTCGATAGTTGAATTTGGCATTGGAAACATTATTATTAGATTTATATTCGACTGTTGTATTCGCACCACGACACGGATGGAAAACTTAAGTATGCGTAGGTATATTTAAATTCCCGAAGGCTTAAATGTGTAGCTGTAGATTCTTATTGCCAATCGTTTTTTTTTATAGTGTGGATATGCGGTCATACGATCATGTTTTTTTTCATAGTGTGGATATGCGGTCATACGATCATGTTTTTTTTCTAGATCAATAAATTGGAAGCACATAGTCATTGTTTCTATGAGAGTTGAATAGACCCCCTTTTAAGTGGCGTGTGGATGGGTGGATTTTTTATAGCTATAAGATAAGTATCTAAAAGCTTCTTAATGCATAACCAACAGATTGGGACATTCACATTTGTATCATACTTCGGATTTATTTATTATGTTTTCGGCTTACTCACGTAATAATTTGACGAGATACTCGACTAGTTTCAAGCCATGCTAGAGGCCCATATTCTAAAACTATTACGTGAAACTTGTCGAGTAAGTATTTCGTCAAATTATTACGTGAGTAAGCCGAAAACATAATAAATAATTTAGAATGTCTCACGAAAGTTAGAATAAAAATACTTCGGATTCTTACGTGTTTTGTGAACTGTCCAAAAAAATACTATATTTTACTATGAACACAGCACATAGTACTATTCACGAATAAGGTATACACCTAGGTTAGCTGTTCGAGGATGCTTGACTAGTTTCAAGCTACACCGGAGCTCCTAATTATAAGTTGCGTGAGTGTCGTGGTGGCCCGGAGATAAAACTTCTCATATTATTTTAAAGGTTCGAAACCTGGCAAGCACCAATGTAAATTTTATTAAATAATACCGAGTACCTTACTAGTTGAAGGTACTTATATAACAGAACAGTGCTTTCCATGTTTATTTAGACACCACTGGCATACGGCGAAGGAAAACATCGCGAGGAAACCTGGACTTATATGTAATTATTATAATTATCTAATAATTATATAAGTTTTAAATCGCGTTGAGCAAGCGTGGTGATTACTGCTCAAAACTTCACCGCGTGAGAAGAAGCCTTTGCTCAGCACTTATGGGCTGATGATGAATTTTGAGTGACCAAAGTATGTAGATGCTCAGGTAGAAGCCTAGAAGTCTCTTATCTAGTTGTCTAGATTTAGATAAAACATACCCATTGCTGCCTCATGGATAGGGATGGCTCCGTCAAAGTCAAAGTCAAAATCATTTATTTCAATTAGACCCATACAGGCACTTTTGAACGTCAACACAACTTTAAAGATACAAAGTGTCAGTCTGTCGGTCAGTCCTCTTAGTGAAGCTATTCGCTCGTTCCAAAGTGTAATTTCCGATGGAGAAGAACGAGCAAGAAACTCCATGGTTACTCTTTTAAAATCAGTGTCACATAAACATTCTTTGATACATTATTTAGTTGGTTTGAATATGTGAGAACAGTGTAACGCGTGTATTATACAGAGAAACATAAAAAGAAAATAACCTTAAGGACAATAGACAGTCCGGAGCTGACCAGTCCCAATTGACGGTGCCCATTCACGAGCATGACACGGACACCACAGAGTACATTTTATATAACTGACGTACACCAGCAACTCAACCATAATATAGGGAATCGAGCGATCCAGTGACCGTGCCACCGCCAATGTGACCTTTGAGTGAGCATGACAACTCGAAGCTGACATAAGGACCGACATTCTGCTAGTCTAACTAATTTTAATAGGATACAGGGCACTCACATTTAAAAAATTATCAAGTTTAACAATAAAAATAGCAATTTACAAAATCTAAGAACTTCCGTTCAAGCAAAGATCCACTGGAACATTATTTATATTCGTGTAGGTATATTATCCTGTGGAGCAGGACCAGCCCGTCTCCAAGCATCCTTATCCTCAATATGATCACTCAGTTTGTAAGTAATATGCTTTTTTACACTATGTTTTCTTTACTCATAATTTAAAATTTCTTTCATTTAATTGTTGTATTTCGCCTGGGATTTTGTTATAACACTTATCGCTGAATCCCATGAACGACTTGTGTACCTTTGCCAATCTAAATAATGGCTGACACAATCTATCGTCTACCGTTTTTTCCTTAATGAAGCTTAGGTAAATAAAATTAAGTTCATGGACTGACTTGATTACATTTCCGGATAGGTCTGGCTCTATGCTTGGAGTTCAATTAGATATAGGTATCTATTACCAGATTTCGCTGGATTTATCGAAGGAGCATTTAGTTTGTCATGACTTAATTAGTAGGTAGATTGTACATAGGCAATTATGTAGATAATTATAATTATTGTCATAAGTATTTCGTTGTTGCATCATTATTTATATACATACAATATAGATTGCTATAACTAACTGTTTATACCAATTATGTACCTACCTATATCTTGTCTACATGTCGATGGCTACACTATCGAATTGGATAACTTAACCATGTAATGATCATGTTAGTGAAAGAAATAAATAAAATAAACCTTAGTATTGGTGTTATGTTTTTATGTGTTATGATGTTTATCGACGTAGGTATGTTATACGAATTCTTAAGTTCCCGTGGTTTGCAAGGAGTCGAAAATAGTGGATTTTTTGTTTCTAAAAATAATGAAATACCTACTTAGATCATCAACATCTTAGGTACCGTAAGACGATGATGAGATAGATAACTATGTATTTGTTACATTTTTTCTGACTTACAGTTTGTTTATCTTATATAAGTAGTTCTGAATTATAGTGACGTCCCGATTTACTATCTAGGTACATTTTATACTTAGGTACCTACTTATGCTTAATGCGTTGATGTAGCTAGCTCCCATTTTTTAAATAAGTAGGTAGGTATAAGATGAAACAAAAAAAAACTTAATGTAATTTTCTCATGTCTGTCATCATCTTCTTTATTAGATAAGTACCTACAATTAATAGAATTAACCATAACCGTGTCGTAAGACTATACTTAGGTAATGTCAATATTTGTTTACAGCGACTGACGTATCCCGGTATTGGGCACGTAGAATAAATAGATAAAAGTACTTATCTACATATTTAATCACAGTCTGATGTCTGATCTTATAATCTTGCCCCTGAAATCTAAGGATGGTTGAACTTGAATGTGATAAGATAAGTAGGGATAATAAAAGAGTTACACCTATGTAGGTACCAACGAAAAAAACACTAAGACCTAAAACCTACAACGAAGGGTAGGTGTTCCACAGGGCAACTAAATGGGGCCCATTTGTGTTCTACTTACATATAAGTATTACACTTGACAAAAATAGCATAATCACAGGAATATCCTGTAACTGTTAAAAATAAGATCATACCACGTCACTTTTTTGCTTCAAAAAGAGACTCATGTCTGAAGTACCAACTAAGAACCGATTGCAGTAAAATACTCCAGGCAAATGAGGTCTTGAATTATGGTTATTTATTAGAACAGCTGGCTAAGCTTCGCCTACTGGCTTGTTTGGCAAGAGTCGAGGAGGATTGTAACGGAGATGCCGCGACGAAAAAAAACACTCAACCCTATAATAATGTTAGCTGAACAATGAAAGACAATTTCCAAGTATCTCCAGTAAAATTTACTCCTTAGGTAGGTAAGTACATACAAATAAGTAGAAGACTCATACCTACTGACTAAATGGGTGGTCTGATGGCCTTCGAAGCGCGTGCGACTTGTCCCTATGGCCATAGTAAGATTTCTTTTTTATGGTGTAGGTCGGCGAACATTGGGACGGATCACCTGATGGTAAACAATTGGTGCCGCCCATTTGTAACACCAAGGAGTTCAAAGTACGTTGCCGGCATTTTGTGAGTTCTTAGGGATTTAAGGATAGGTGATTTGGTCATTGCAGGGAGCGGCTATTGGGCCTCTGGTAATCTCTCTCACTCGGCCGCACATATACAGGATGAATGTAACATATTATAGGGTCGCAGGAATCCGACAAATTCGTTGCGTAACATATTCGTGTGAATGTATCTACTAGATGACAGCTATACGGTTATTGTTACCGAGTAGGTACTTTTTATTAGAAATTATAAGATTTATCAGGAAAGAAAATAAAGATTACCTAATACGTGGATATAATATTATCCCTATCATTAAGTGTAGGTGTAATAAATAGTACCTTTGTTTTACAATTTCACCATAACATTAAGAACAATGCCATGATAAACTCTCTAGACAGATATGGTATCAAGATAAGTGAGGTAACACGTGGAAAGAAAATAATAAAATAAAGCAAGCAAAGCAGCTGCTTCAAGGCAGGAAGGAAGTATGCAGGGTTATGCACTTTTGAGGAATGATATGGTATCTCGCTTAATTCAGTTTATAACAAAATAATAGCTTGCTTCGGCACGAATGGGTCGGCTCGACCGGCTTGACACCACGGCCTCACAGAAAATGAAGATTTTTTTTTTTTTGTGAGGGCAAAATCATCAAATGACTTCTCCCGCCCAGGGCCG